CCACTGCCACCTTTACTGCCATCTTTACTGCCCACACAAGGTGCAGTCCTTCTCAGACAGCGGACAGCAGGGCCTCAGCACCGCAGGTCGACTGCAGAGTCCAGTGCGAGCCAAGAGTGCATTTCCAGGGTTTTCTGAAAGCCTATGTCACATGACACCACACTCCCCTCCCCAAATACAGAGATACTCTTCAGATTAAATTCCGTTTGCTTTCTAACAGTGAAAGAAGCATTTAATTATGGCCATGCCACCTGACAAGTAAGTCTAAGCTCATCTGAAAGACCTTTCTCCGTTCCTTCAGAATCAAACTTTGACCTATATTTACAATTTTATTTAGTCAAATTTCCATTTGGTAATAATACCAGTATCTCCATGAAGATTCCCATGATCCACTGTCTAGCACTGCCGAGAAAGTCATTATTCCTTTGGTGTGTGTTCCTGGTGACATTTCTAACCTGCAACATGCAGTCTAAGTGTTGGGGCGGGAAGAAGCCTGACATCCTCTGAAGGTTCCTATCTTACCTTCCTCAAAGCCTGTCCATGGAGCAACCTTTACTCTGAAACTATTTTATCTGCAATAGTGCATCCTACTGGGCAGTCACTGCACACCTCTCGAGTTTAAAGGCAGGCAAGCACTCAGGCTCACAGCCATCCATCACTCCTCTGCTCCCCATTTTCTTCACAAGGAGCAAGTCCAATTGGTTAGACTTTCCTAAACATGTTCTGGCCTCGTGCCTTGTGCTCTTACATTCGCTGTCCCACAGAGCAACCTTCCCCAACTGCCCACCTAGGAAATTCTTAACAAGATGCTGTCATTGGAATAGGGCTGTAGCTTAGTGGTAAGAGGTGCTGGGTTCTATCAGCACCACAGGGTAAAAGGAACAACCAATACACAGATCAGAGCCTGCCCACAAATGCTGGCTGCTCTGCGAACCTTCGCTGCCTCCTGCCCTACCTCCTGCCATACTTGCTCCCCACACTCACAAACACACTGGATTGGTAGGAGCAGTATCTCAACACTGCCTTTCAGTTTAACCAGTCCCACCCCACAGGGAAGGGACCCAGCTCCTGAAAGTTCTCCCTCCTCCACAGCTGTGCTAGCGTGCAGTCCAACTCCCCTCCCGTGCTGTTGTAAGGGGAGTTTAAACTGGACTTGGCTCTTTAAGGGAAAGGGTTTAAGTAACTTACTTTTCGAGAGCAGACAGACTAAAGAAGTGTGAGCAACACTGAGCGTGAGTGGGACCCGACTGACAGTCAACTAACAAACTAGCTGTTCTCCGCCAGTGTCTAACCCTTAGGTACAACAAACAAGGTGGCCAAGCTTGAATCTAATGGATGTGGGCCTGCCAGGTAAGGAAAGCCAAGAACAAAAGCAGAGAAGTTTAAGAGCACTTGTGATAAAGTGGCCACAGTGATGAACCACAAAACTTGAAGGAAATAGATAAAGGGTATTGATACTTCCCCAATGCATGTCTTAAGTTCCTTATTCTGTGAATTCTAAGGTAGCCCGTTAATGTTACACCATGTATACCTCATCACAGTGCCACCTTCCAAAACTCCAAGCAACAAACTCATTTTTAAAAGAGCCACTTTCTAAAGATACGGAAAGAAAAATAAGTTTAAGGTTGAAAACAAAGGTTGGAGTTCTGACGGGCAGGGGTTTCCCTGGGATATTTCTATGTAAACAAAGGAAGGATGCGGGTTAGTAAATCAGAAGAAGGCAGGTGTGGTGGGGCATGCTTTTATCCCAACACTTGAAAGACAGAGGTGAGAGACCGCAGTTTGGGCCCATCCTGATCTACATATCAAATTCCAGAGTCCATCCAGTCTCCGTTACAGAGCGAGGCCATCAAATACAACTCAAAATTAAACACACACACACAAAATCAATCAACCAATCAATTAATTAAAAGGTCAAGACAACAGAAACGAGCCTTAACCACAATTAACTTCACAAGGGGAAATAAAACCTACTTGCTCTGGGGATTCTCATGGAAGCAGCTACAGCTCCAGGAACCCATTCAGCATGGCTAGCTGCTGAGGGGACTGAACCACTGCCAACTTTATGATCCAGCTTGCTAAACAACTCAAGGTAAGTTTAGGGAGCTATCTGGCCATCTGATTATACAATCTGTCTTAAAATCATTCATTTAAAAAGTTCTCTTCATATTTAGCTAGCATCAAAAAAATTCTACAAAAGCAAAATACACTCTTAATTTATCAGTTTAAGTAAAATATATCACAACATTTTGTTTGAACAGATTTCCAAGTCTTTCCCCATGATGGCCAAAATAATATGGATCAATTATCTTAATTCAGTGGAATTTAAAAATGGGTTCCTTATATATGTCAAGAAAGAAAGATAAAACTGTGGCAACATAAAATGTTTCTCAGTATTCAAGTCACTAAATAAGCCATTAGCAACAAACTGAAACTATCTCTATTTGTAATATGAGAATGCTAAAATAGACATTAACGCTTTCTTCTTTTTATTTATTTCTGTGTTGAGTACAGCTGGCTGTGATGCTGAGGGCAAAGTCCTGCCCTCCACAAGGGCAGCCAGCACTCTTAACCACTGAACCACCTCTACAGTCCCTACAGTTTTCCTTCTACTCAAAAATTATATTTTCTAATGCTCTAGATTTTTTTTTTCAAAGGCTCTGAGGGAAAAAAAAAATGCTAACTTTCAATTCATGATATGTGTTTTCCTTCCATGCATTACAACAGGTAAGCCTACTTTGCCAGGATATTTTTAAGTCAGAAAAAAAAAACAGGCTAAACACTGATGAAACTGTCTATGGCTGTGCTTCACATTCCCTGTTCACATATCACTCCCCTTGGTCTTCTGTCCGATGCCTCAAGTGAAGTCTGGTACCATCCGACCTGCATGCCTCTCAAAACAGAGGTTAATGCACCCAGATATAACTATCTTACTCAAGAAAATGCAAGCTAACAGTTTGCTACTTTGTCTTGATAACTTCATCACTAACTCTAGGATCTAACAAGTAGCAGACCCCTAATTTAATTTATTACACCAGTGGCTCTCAAAATGTGGCCACCTAGGATCATTTTAGAGATGCAGAAGTTCTGTAAGTGTGCCTACAACTCTTAAAGGTCCTCCCGTGAGATTCTGATAGACAGCTAGCTGGAGGACCACTGTTTGGCAGAGAGAGTATGCTTTCTTTTTTTCTTTTTTAAGACAAAATACCATACTATAGTTCACACTGGCCTAGAGCACATGGCATAACTCAGGCTGGTCTTAAACTCATGACAATCCTGCTGGCTTCAGCCTCTGGAGTGCTGAGACCACAAATATGAGCCTGCACACACACCTGGGGAGAACCACTATACTGAACCTGTTAGGAAACCACCTTCTCGTGTTAAGTAAAAAGCTTATTTTTCTCAGCTGCCACAACTTAGAAATGCTTTAAAACGATGCTATGGATAATTTTGCTGTGCCCAGTTCATACAGAAGGTAAAGTTTATTTTTAAAGATTTTTATTTACTCTGTGTGTGTGTGTGTGTGTGTGTGTGTGTGTGTGTGTGTGTGTGTGCCTGTGGAACAGTGTGTCCAGGGGCCTGTAGAAGCAGAAGGGGACTCCTGGAGTTGTAATTACAACTGTGAGTAGCCTGGTCTGGTGCTGGGAACCCAACTCTAGTCTTCCACAAGACGGAGAAGCACCCTAACCATCACTCCAGCCCCAAGATAAATTTTCACTAAGCTCTTAGAACACCAGTTCGCACATGAGTAAAACAGAGACTAATCAAATATCTCCATGGAATAAGAGATGACTTACAAAAATGCTCTTTGCCTCTGGATCACCTGCTGTTTTATACAGGTATTGCTCTTGAGAAGCCAACACTCTAGCTTGCCCCTGAGGTATCATTAGTGCTTCCCAGACAGAAAAACTCAAAGTTCTGTTGTTGTTGTTTTTTAATAGAAACAACACAGTAGAGAAATGAGCAAACTACTAGAAAACCTACAGCAAACAAAATCAAGCACTTCTGTATCTGGAAAAGAAAAATGATACTAAACATAACAGACAGCTAGTATGCAAAATAAGTCATTTGTGATAACTGAGCATGACCGATGCAGATGGAAAGAGTTAGAAAAATCAGAATTTGACTACATGACCTATATATTCAAGTGGCCCAGGCCTTCAAAATTCCAGTCCCCTCCGATCTGAGGCTGGTCTCGATGTCACAGCACAAAACCCGACTTGAGGGTCAAAGAGCATATGGCTATCTACCGGGAAGTCAAAAACTAACAAAAACCCTACCTCTCGTGGAGATGTAGGACCTCAATAGTATGACTTTTTAACGGCAAACAAGGAGCGGCCCACACACCCTTTCGTGAGGATTTCAAGCACGAAACACTCCCAATTTTGAGGCGTTCCCAATTCCTCAATCCCCACCGGCGCCGCGGAGTATCGGATTGTTTGCTTTCCTTGACAACTGTCGCCCCCACACCACACAGTCCCCCTTTCCGGAACGAGGGACAGAGGTGTCCCCGGCGCCCAGGCCCTCCCGGCTCACGCCCGGCCGGGCCGGGCCTCCTGAAGCGCCGCGATTCCGTTGGGGGCGAGCAGCCAACATTCCAGCCTGGAGGCCGGCCGGGGTGCACTGGAAGCGCCGCTCTCCTCAGCAGCCGGCCGGGCCCCGCGCCTCCCCGCGCCCAGGGCCCCACGAGCAAGGCGGCCCCAGCAGACAAATGAGGAGGTTAGCCAGAAGTTGGATGGCGCCACGCTGGGGACGCGAGCCCGGACTTCTCCGGGCGCCAGGGTGAAGTCGCGCACGGGACGCGGGGCGCTGGGGCCCGGGCTCGCTCCCCGCCGCCGCCCCGCGCCCGCCCGCCCGGCCTCCTGGACCCGCGCGTCCCCGGCGCGGGCTGCGCCCAGGCCGCCGTCCCGGCCTCGCGGCCCGCCCTCCGTCCCGCCGCCGCCCCCTCGGCCCGGGTTCCCCGCGGGCGCCGGAGCTCGGGCCGTGCGGGCGGGACTCACCTTCGTACTGCAGGTCCACCAGGACCAGCAGGAACGGGAACACCGCGCCCAGCCGGCTGCGCACCGAGCCGGGGGCCACCATGTCCGGAAGGAGCGCGGCCCTCAGCCCGCTCCGCCCGCGTCCGCTCCGCCCGCCCGCCCGCTCCGGCTCGCTCGGGCCTCGGCGGCGGCGGCGGGCGCCCACAGGCGGAAAACGGCGGTGGGCGGGGCCCGCGCACGCCACGCCCCCTCCCCGAGCGCCGCCGCCGACCAATCGCCTTCCCGCTGGGCTCGGAGCGGCCCGGCTCGCCGGGGTCGTGGTTGGCGCTGATTGGCTGCCGAGGCCGACGCCCCGCCCCGTCCCTGATAGATAGGGTAACGTGGAAGCAGCAGACGAGGCTGCGTCCGGGAGTCGTGGAGCTGTCAGCGGGCTCGGGATCGCCGCGGCGGCCCGGGCAGGAGAGGGGAGGCCCGGGGAGGCCGGGCCGGGGAGGCCGCGGAGGGGAGGGGAGGAGGCGGCCCGGGGAGGCCGGAGGGGCGGGGAGGGGAGGGGAGGGGCGGCCGCACAGCCCGCATGCGCAGCCCCGCTCCGGTCGGGGAAGGAGGTGCGGCCCGCCGTGCTTCTAGAAAGGTCTTCTGCAGAGACGTGCGCCGGGGACGGGAGCCCCGTAGCCGCCCCGTGGTGGAAAAGGGCGAAGTGTACCCCGAACTGCCAAGGCTGTCCCGGGGTGGGGTGGGGTGGGGTGGGGTGGGGAGCGCGCGGTGGGTACCCGGCATGTGTGCCCCTGGCCGTGGGAACCGGGGCCTGGGACGACGGGACCCTGGCCTGCCAGCACACACCACAGTCTTCACGGTAGCAGCGTCTGCCTTCGGTTCCCTGGGGGCTTGCAGGTTTGCAGCCTACCGCCTGGCCTGGGCCCGTTGTGCATCGGCGTGGCCTTGAAATGCTTGCATGCAGAACCATCCTGCTGGATCTGCTCTCCCAAGACACAGCCTTCCTTGGCAGTTTGGAGTAAACTCTCCCCCCACCCCCTTTTAGCCCACGGGAGCCGCTATTTCTTTTAAAGAGAAAAGAACTTGAACGAGATACGAGTTCACGTTATTCACGTAGGCTTTGACCGCGGCTGTGCTGTTTCTTCTGTTTTGAGCTCGCTCTCTCTATACGTCAGCAGTGCTTTACACATGCTTAAGCAGTGGGGGTTTATCGTCCCATGCTTTTCATACCCTTAGTTGTCACTCTCTGCTTTAGAAGAACTCATGGATCACGGTGGATTTTGAATAAAACAAGTAAATAGAAACGAAGGACATGACTGCTCCTAGGTACGGTGGACGAGATGCTGTAGATGAAAGGGAGAGCATAGTGAGAGGCTGACCTATCCGGGAGTGGGCATGACCAGACTGAGCCATGTGAGGACAGGGAAGAGCAAACAGTAACCAGGATGGCTGGAGTATACAGGGAAGAGCCCGGGTGGGAAGGGCAGCCCAGGCCCTGGACTGCAGAGGTCAGGGTAGAGGGCAGGCTATGCCAGCCAGACCCTGAAACAGGTAGGGACATAGGGATGCTGGGAGAACCTAGCTCCAGGTTCTCTTTGATATGTTAAATAGGTACCTTGGTCATTTGTCCCAGGGTTTGGGGCCTAAGGATTTGTGATTTCCTGAAGATACACTGTGAAGGATGGGAAAAAAAGGTTTCTTTATGTTGCAAAGAAATGGAATGTAAAGGAACCGGTTCCTACTGGAAGGAATGAGTCTCTAAGGAGCTGTAGGGAAGGCAGTGTCAAAAAGCAGGAGGGAAGCAGAGCTGTTATGTGTTATCCTTGTCTGTAAATTGAGTGGACTGAGGTTTAATCATCAGGTAAAAGTCCCTGTGGACCCCGATGCTCTGCAGATGCTGCCCTGTTCTAGCAGGAGCCAAACAGTGAAGAAACGTTCAGGTTCTGTTGAGGTTTGTCTGTTTGAGATACACACATATCTCATTAGATAAAGTGAAAAGGTGGGAGATGATTTCATTGTCCTCAAGTGAATACACCACACAAATGAGGCACGGGGAAAAACGTATGTGTTATCAGGAAATAACCTGTGTGATATCAGGAAAAAAAAAACTGTGTGTTATCAGGAAAAGACCTGGGTGTTCTCATGGGGGGAAAAATCTGTGTTATCAGGGAAAAAACCTGTGTGTTCTCGGGAAAAGACCTGTGTTATCCCTGGGTGTTGATTGTGATTCTAGCCTTAAGGAAAAAGAACTGAAAAAAGTTCTAATAAGAGAGAAATTACTTTTAAAACTATATTTGTGTTGCAGTCAGAGAATAACAAGGGTCTTCAGTGAGGAGTGACCAGACATTTGAGCAACCACCTAACGGCCTGTGGTATCAGAACTCCAATACACAAAGTATCCCTTGAAAAGGATGGTTTTACAAATAAAAAAATAACGTGCACAGGTTCTCTGCGGCCCTGAGCTGACACAAGGGAGGGAGGGTTGGTCTTAGCTCACAGTTGTAGAGATCTCAGTGCATCATGGTAGGGAAGCGTGACTGCTCCAGTAGTGGGAGCCTGTGGGATACTGACCTCATTACCCACGCTGAACCAGAAAGCAGAGACAGGGACAGAAGCAAAACTGGGCGGAAACTCAAGGCCCAGCCCCTAACAGCCTACATTAGCCAGCTAGGCCCCACAACCTCCCCAAGACCAAGGGCTTAAAGCACTGTGCATGACATTCAAACTGTAACAAAGTAACACGACTTACACAGCTCAGTCGGTTTGGGAGCTGGACAGAGGAAATAGAAAATGTAAAGGGATTAGAATGTGTCAGGTCCAGCTGATGTGTTTGAACTTGCCTGAAGCAGGGAGTGAGGATTGAGAAAAGATGAAAGAGACAGAAGATGGAGTCGGGAGGGCACTCAGGGAATGATGGGAGATGTCAGTACACGTTACAAGGGAACACTGTAGCAGCCCCAAGTTTATTACTCACGGACTTTATATACCCCAAGCAAAGGGTGGGGGGCTTCCTTACCATGATACAAGGAACAAAACAAATATAACTACCTCCTCCGTACCTAAAACATCTGGTCATCATGCCCTAAGTCAAACATCCTGTAATTTGGTCTTGAGGGTCAAAACATCTGGTAGCCACACTTTAAGTCAAACATCCTGTAGTTTAACCTTGAGCAAGAATAGGTTTTAACTCTGTGACCTCAAGTCAAGATGGGACTGAGTCAGTAACAATGGGCCCGATAGGAAGGAGCAGAGACAGTCTTTGTTTGTATGGTTTAGAGTTACGGGTTACAGTATAATAAACTTGAACCTCAGTGATGTCACATGATGAGGGGAAGAGAAAGAATGTTCCACTACTTAAGGTGGGGTCACATCCTGATAAGCCCTCAGTAAGTTCAAAGGACTGGAACTGGAAGATGCAATCAATATATGAGACTTAACCAAACACCATGACTTAGCAACCCAGAATGCTGAAGGGGAGGAGTAGATGAGGCCAAGTGAAAGCCGGAACTCACTGTTCCCCTGTTCCGTGTCTCAAGCTATAATCGAAACAGAAAGTCAAAACTCAGAATGTGCTTTCTATTTCTCACCATCATAAACAAAAACCCATTCCAACAGAGCCACTGTAAGTCAGGGGCTGTTAAGTTTTAGGCTCTCAGAAGTGGCTTTAATCTTATTCTGTTGATAACAGGAAGCCACCAGCGGGTTTTAAGCAGAGAACTTAGAAGTTAAATGTGATCAGGAGGTTATCATGCTAAGCAGAGCCGAAGAGGAGAGATGGAGATAACAGCAGAGATAGAGACAGAGCAAGCTAAATCGTAGATCTTCCTTGGAACAAGATGGTAACAAATAGGTTAGGTGGAGAGTAGGACCACTAAAAGAGTCAGGAAGGATGCCTGCGATGGTTCAGGTGACTGTGCTGTCATCTGCTAACATCCGCTTTAGGCAAGGGAAGACAAAATGGAAATTGAGTTACTTTTGAGCCACAGTATGTTTGAAATGCTTCCCAGACATTGAAGAAGAGATATGGAACAGGTGGCTGGATGTCTGCATCTGGAGAAGAGAGACGGAAATGGAGAAGAGGGACTTTAAAATAAGGAGCCATGCGAGTCAGTGACACCACCTAATGAGCAAGGTATAAAGAGAACCAAACAAAAGTGGGGGCGGGGAGTAGCTAGGACAGAGCATTGGGACAGACTGAAACCCTGCAAGACTGACCCAGAAGCAGAAGGGAAAAGAGAGTGTGGCCCCACAAAACGTACGGTTAAACGGTGAGCCTGCGAAGGGAAAGGGAGACGGAGGATTGGTGACTGATGGGGTGGGACACAGAGCAAGAAGTGATAAGACAAATGTAGCAAACAGGCCTCTTCAAAGAATTGCATTTAACACTGGCAAATGTTGACAATCGTAGGTTTGAATCTTTCCATAATAAAAAAAATGTTGTTTACAGAGCACTGCTTCAAAAGCAAGACAGCAATGGGAGAGAGTCAAGGGTGTGTGTGTGTGTGTGTGTGTTAGACTTTACAGTATATTTTACAGTGGCTATCGTTTCTCTAGTAGTGATTCTCAGCAACTGAGGATGAATATAACTTTTTTTTTTTTAGAGCTGATCCTCGGAGGGGCTCCTGATGAGGGAAGTTAATGGTGGTTGGGGAAGGGAGAGTCCTATTCCTCAGTGTGTAGTCTCAGGTACGTTACCATTGCCCAAATGAATATGGCCCCAAGAATGCTTATGCAGGAAGGCGTGAAGAAGAAAAGGGCCACTGGCAGTGAAGAGGAGTAAGAGAGGGCAGCTGCGTGAATATGATCAGAATACTTCCTGTGTGATAATTGTGAATATATTTTAAGTGGATCCTTGAGAAGTCAAAGAAGAACACACACACACACACACACACGTATATATAATATGTGTATTGTAATGCTATAATATACATATATCATATTTATTATATACACTCTAGGGCTCCACCTCCAATTCCATCCTAGCCAGAGCAGTGAGTCTTGACCTCTGTAATCACCACTTTGCTCAGTCTACCTCTTCTCAAACATTAGTAAAACAGGGGGTAACAACTGAGCATGGTGGCCCACGCCTTCACCCAGGAGGAAGAGGCAGGTGGATATCTGTGAGTTCGAGGCCAGTCTACAGAGTGAGTTCCTGGAGGACAGCCAAGGCTGTTACACAGAGAAAGGGGGGGGGGGGGGGTAAAGGAATTCAGAAATTATATGTTGTAGCCACCAGAGGTCACTGGTGGCCAATTCTGCCTTTTGATTGGGGGAAAAATGTTGAAAGTGTCACCATCAAGCAGTGGTTGCACTGGACTTGAATGCCAGCACTGGGGAGGCAGAGGTAGAAGCAGGTCTCTGTGCATTCCAGCCAGCCTGCTCTACAGAGAGAGTTCCGGGACAACCAGGGCTACACACAGAATCCTGTCTGAAGAGGAAAAAAGAAAATGTCATGCCTGAATATAGAGTATCTTGATCACATCCACTGAATCCCTGCAGTACCACTCTTCCTGGGCTCCCACAACACATTGCCCTCACAACTTCATGTGTTTTTTCCACATAATTCACTGGGTCCAACTAACAATGCCCAAATGCGCATAGGTATTGGGTTTTCCACTGGGCCACAACTGTAAGGGCTCATTATTCTGGCCCGCCCCGTCACTTGGCAGAAGGCACTCAGCCAGTACCCTGGTCAGCCCAGGTGCAAAGGACCCCTTTAAAAGATAGACCCCTGCCTACTTAAGCTCTGACTCTCTTTCCTGCTGTCTCCCTGGGGCAGTCAGGATTTTCCTGCCTCTCTCTTCTCTTCTGTCCTCTCTCTCTCTCTCTCTCTCTCTCTCTCTCTCTCTCTCTCTCTCTCTCTGCCTCTCTTCTCCTCCCCCCCTCCCCTTTCTAATGAAACTTCTCACTTAAGCTCTGTCTGCCTGGTGTGTATTTGTGTCCTGTGTGTGTCATCGTCGCCCACCCCCCACCCCCACCGGCCTGCCATGGAATCTGCCAATGCCCCCCTCACACATTATTCTTAACAACAACCCCAAAGAAAAGTAACCCTCACTTCCCCAAGAGTCCTCAATTGCCAATAGTGCCTCGCATCGACCGCCCTACGATCTGTTCCACGATTGTGTGAAGGCCTAGAGATCTAAACAAAAGACAAGTCAGCGGGTCATTTGTGCAACAGGAACACTCAAATGCCGAATGCCGAATGTCATTTATTGAGGGGAAGGGGCGGGCTCACATACTGACTCACAGTACAGGGGAAAACAACCCAGGGTCAAGCGTGCAAGCTCTCCAGCTCAGTTCCTCCCCAGCAGATGTGTGTTAGCAAATCAGGAAGAGAACCAAGACCTACTCTGGGGCAAGATGTTCCAGCCAGCAGCTTCACTTGCTCAAGGTGCCCAGGGCGTCCATGCAGGGCCCCACAGTGCCTCAACTAGAGGGTGAGGACTGTCCTGACTCCATACTGGAATTTTTACTGGCTTGATTTTGGCAGTTCACGAATGTAACCACAGCTGCTCTTAAATTCACGTGTGTGACAGCTAGCTGTGCCACAGCCAAAGCTCAACATTTCAGAGTACTTGTCCTCAACCTCAGGCTCTTACGTCCCTTCTGCCCCTCCTTCCGTGAAGTGCTTGATGGCTACGGCAGAGTACTCGAAGTCCCATACTCTCGGCACATTAGCCCGTTAGGAATCTGCGTTAAAACTACCCACTGCAACCGGGCTTCCCTAGGCACCAGTTTGACTATGTTTACAGTACCGAGTATGGATTTCCCCCTGGGAAGCTGGCCTTAAACACAATCAAGAGAGTAGCGAGTTACTGGATGCTCTGATTGAATTTCTGTTACTTCAATAAAACATTCTGACCCAAAGCAATTCCGGGAGGGAAGAGCCTATTCTGGCATGCAGGTTTTAGTCCATCATAAAGGAAAACAAAGGCAAAAACTCAAAGCCCACACTGTGTTAGGCCCTACTACATCAATTAGTAACTAAGAAAATATCTCACACAGGAGTAGCAGCACAAGCCTGCCTCTAGTCCCAGCACCCTGGAGGGAGGCAAGCAGATCTCTGTGAGTTGGAGGCCAGCCTGATCTACAAGTTGAGTCCAGGACAGCCAGGCCCACATAGTGGGATCCCTCACTTTAAATGAAAACAGCTCACAGACATGGCCGCAGGCCAATCTGGTCTTGGGAATCCTTCCGCTGAGTTTCCCCCTTCACAGCTGAATCTAGGTTTGTATAAAGTTGACCACTGCAGCGAACTATGACACTCCAATAAGCATCCTTGCCAGCATTGTGCCAGTGAACAATGGAGTGTGCAGGGTCGCAGGGTCTAGAGCTGGGGAAGACCATGTCTTTTCTCCCTCTGCAGCCTGAACAGCACCTTCCAGCAATATGAAAAGCAGCCATGGGGACACAGTTTCCCTGTCAATGCAAGATTGATCTCTCACCACAAGGTAAGAGTGTGGTATCCTGAGCAATAGTGTCTCACGGCCTACAGAAAGTAGCCAAGAGCAATGGCGATAGCTGCACCATCTTTGAAGGACTCTGGAACTTTGTTGACCAATACCTCGTAGGTAGGTAGCCCATGTTTGGTACTGAGATGTTCATTTAATAACCCAAGCCTTCTGAGAGCAGCATTGTGTCTCTGCTCTAACTGCTTTTTATATTACTATATTTTTTGTTAGCTTAGAACACACGGGTTTTCATAAGGTTTCTTCACGATCCTCAGTTTTAGGTAACTCACCTCCTTCCCTTCATCCCCAGCATCCTGCCCATCCCCATTTAAACCCTTATCTCCTTCCTCACATTCTTCCCACATTCTTTCATACCCACGTGTGTTCTTTCTATCTCCTCTCACTATAATTTTCATTTGAGTTGTAAATTAAGTTCAGTGTAGTGTTTTCACTAACACATCATCTGGCTAGCCCTTCCTCTTAACACTCAAGAGACCCAAATTAAAATAGGAATGTTACGATAACGTAGACAGAGTTTTTCTGTGTCCAAACAGCCACTCCCAAGTAACCACACAGAGACTTATTATTAATTACAAATTAATAATAAGCCAATAGCTGAGGCTTTTTACTAACTAGTGTTTACAGCTTGAATCAATCCATATTTCTTATCTACCTTCTACCACATGGTAGCATGATGAACAAACATGACATGTTCATCTCCTGCTGATGATTCCTCGGACTCCACACTTGTTCTTCCCAGCGTCCTCCAGGTCTGGATCTCCTGACTAATCTTCCTGCCCAGCTATAGGCCAGTGATCTCTCTATTAACCAATGAAAGCAATACATACTTACAGTGTCCAAAGATTGTTCCATAGCATGGTAACGGTATAAAACTACCGGTTCATGTATTACATATGTTATCGCCTTGTTCTCCAAGTAATGATCTCCCAATGAGATATATAAGTGGAAAGTGTATATGTAGGAAATCTGCATAAAACACATTTTTCAGAGAAAGATCACTTTGTTACCAGTTATCAAACAGCTGGAACATAACTTGGATGTCAGCATACCCGTTACCCGTTACTTGTTGCCCGCTCTCAACACAACATTACCACGCAAATTTTATCTGGAATCTGCAGTTTTGTGCCTCAGTGTTTTAAATACGACATCGAAAATGCACACATACCAACAAAATGATTTTAAGATGTGCATTTAGAGTGTACATTCCATTAGGGAAGAAAAGAAATACAGGCTCCTGAATAATCCGATTTCTCAAGCCATTGCACTACCTTTCCCAGTGGAATGATCTTTGTCAAGCTCTCGGGAGCACAAAAGATTCATATCACAAATTAATGGTAATAATATGTAAACTAAAAGAGCACAAACATCCAGTTTAGCTAATAAAACTGATGCCTGAGAATAAGCATCCTTAGGGAAACAGTGGTGCGAGAAAACAGTCAGGGACTACATATTCCTTTAACTCTCGTGTACGTGGATGTTCTGCCGGCATGCATGTCTGTGTGAAGGTGTCAGATCCCCCAGCACTGGAATTACGGACAGTTGTGAGCTGCTGGGAATTGAACCCAGGACCTCTGAAAGAGCGCCCAGTGCTCCTGGCACTGGTCCCCAGGCCTATGGCATCAGCAGCACCTGGAGCCTACTACACCACCCCCGCCCCTGCTCTGGCCTCATTTCAACTCTTCTACATCATAGCTTCCGGGTAAGAGCACAAATCTGTTAACACAAGTCTACCAGCAGGCCGGAGAAAGCATGGTAGCAACTCAGTGAAGTGTTCACACAGTATGGATTTTATCCTGACTTTTGCCTTCTGCAGCAAAAGAAAGTTGGCCAGTTTTGCAATGGAGAACTAAAAATTCCCATCTCAAGAACCACACCCCAAGTGTTGTTACAACGACCAGAATACAGATCTAGCTGCTCAGGTAGTGTATTGAAGAGTTAGGAACTCAAAGGATATGTAGGGATTTGCTAATTTATATCCTTAAAGAAATCTATCTTGGAGCTGGGAAGATGGTTCACTGGCTAACGACACTTGCTTCCAGAGGACCTAAGTTCAGTTCTCAGCACCCACCCACGTTGTGCAACTCGCAACTGCCCGTAATGCCAGCAGATCCAGTACCCCTTCCTGACCTCTGCAGGCCCCTGAACACACACGGCATGCATACAAACGCAGACATATAAATAAAAGTTTTAAATATATGTGTGTGTGTGCGTGTGTGTGTGCATGTGTGTGTGTGTGTGTGTGTGTGTGTGTGTGTGTGTGTATTTAAAGCCCCCCATGATGCCAGTGGGATGGTTCTTCATGAAAAGGTGCTGCCTGAGCAAACCCTGACAGGTGCAAGCCCATGACAGTAGGAGAAAACAAATTCTCAAGGTTTTCCTCTGACTTCCACACACCAGCTGTGGTGCACGCTCCCCTATATTCATAACACATCACACACACAAGCACGATCGCCCACACGCACTCACACATCCCACATACATGAGCATAACTGTACACACACACACACACACACACACACACACACACACAATCACTTTTTAAATGAAACTCTGAAACAATGTCCCCCATGATGTAAGCCCCAGCCCCCGTGAGAGGGAACAGGGAGGTTTGGGTCACAGGGCTGTCTTCCTAGACGTTACTGCTTTGGTAGGTTACGCTGACTTCCTTCTAATTTGTGACTTTCCTTCAAACACATGTGCAAAATGGCCAGATTTGAAGGCTGTTTCACCTTCTGGGGTGCAGTGACACTCACCATCTTTTGCAAACCTAGCACAGAGAGCCAGGACCTAGTGTTGTCAGAAACAAACTCAAGCTACAATCAGAAAACAGACATCTGAGCGCCAAGCAGCATCCACACAAGAGCACCCAGGAACAGCAGCCAGGAACCACGCCACGGTCTGCCATATTCTCTGGCCATCTATCTATGAAGCCTTCCCCAGGTACTGTGTTAGAGCAAAAACCAAACAAACAAACAAAATCCCATTTGGTATCACCTGCCTGGTTGTGATTTCTCTCAAGAATCCTAACTCTTGGGCAAAGGAAATGGCCCAGTTGGTGGAGTGCCTTGGCTTCCATACCCAGCACCACATAAACTGGATAATGGCCACGCCAGTGAGTTTGAGGTCAGCCTGGCATACGAGCAACTCCATCTCAGAGCAGCCCTACACCTTAACCTAGGACCACTGATAACACCGCCACATCTAATCTGCGGAACCTTCGCATTTAAAGTGGACCTTTGTTTGCTTGTTTTTCGAGGAAGAGCCTTACTAAGCAGCCCTGGCTATCCTGGAACTCACTATGGACAGTGATTCTCAACCGGTGGGTCGTGGGTGACCCGTGCGTGACCCCATTTGGGGTGTCAGGTGACCCTTTCAGAGCTGGGAAAGCACAGAGACTTACAATGCATACAGCATCAACGTTGCAGTTGTGAAGTAACAAAGTAATGTTATGGTTGGGGTCCCCACAACATGAGGAACTGCATTAAATGGCCACAGTGTGAGGAAGGTTGAAAACCACTGCTCTAAAGTTTATTTGAGTGCTGAGTTCAAAACCCAACATTCACTTTGTTAGCTAATGCTAACAACGCCTATTGAACTGGAAGGACCTGTGCTGTTCTGTCATTTAAGAACACTCATTTCCTAAGAAAGATAAGCAAAGCCAAAGCAGTAGAATGCATGTAGACCAGGCTGCCCTTGAACTCACAGAGATCCTCCTGCCGGGATTAAAGGTGCGCGCCACCACGCCTAGCTAAAGTGGATTTCTTATGGATAGCATATGATGGATATTTCTGTTGTGTAACAGTTATCCACTTTGAAATTCTCCTTTAATATGTATTTAGACAATAATTTTGATGGATGTCCCAGCATTGTGTGACAAAACTTACCTTGAGGAGATGCAACATGGAATGCTCACTCCAGATCTGAATCTCACAACAGACAAGTGTGTTGAAACCACAAAAATCCAACTTGGTGAACGAATTTTACCAGGGTTACTCACAGGAGCAGAGATGACTCAGAGAGCTGCATCACCAAGGTCCACCCCTGCATGGGGGACAGCTCACAAAGCTGGGACCCAGACATACGCTACACAGCCTTGCAGTCAGCGCAACTGTTTGGAGAGTGTCCTTTCCACGTGGCCCCTCTGAACCTCTTCCCGGAAGGAAGCTCCCCTGGTTCCTCCCAGGGGCTGGTCTGCTCTCAATCTTAGTTGCCCGCAGCTCAGCTTCACTTAGTCTGAGAGGATTCTGGTCTTTGGCAGCTTTCTCTGGCAGGGAGGAGCCTAATGGGTCTGCTCAGCTTCAGGAACTTCTTGAAGCTACCTTGCACTGTTTACCTTCGTGCTTACAGAGTTTCCCTGCTGGGTGGAGTGTTTCATTCTCAGGAAAGCTGTTACACAACGTGTAGTTACTTTGTTGTTGCTGTGATGATTATTGCCTTGACTAAAAGCAGCCCCGGAAGGGAAGGGAAGGGCTTAGTCCAAACCCAGGGGCCACCAAGGAAAGCCCAAGTAGGAGCTTAAGGAAGGCGCCTGGAGCAGATCCAGAAGCAAGGCTGGACTGGTGTAGACAGGGTTGCTCCTCATACTTGCCCCTCCCCCATACAACCCAATTCCACCTGCCCAAGAGTGAAACCACCCTCACTATCAAACCGTAATGCAAAAAGTGCCCCCAGACATGCCCACATGCCATTCGGAGGGAGACAACTCTTCAACTGAGGCTCTGTCTTCCTAGGCGTCCATAGTTAATGTCAGTTTGATGAAAACTAGCAAGCACATTATCTTGTGCTAATACCTTCCACGTTTGTAACTGCTTCAAGGTCCTCAAATTGGATTAGTTTACTGTATCTCAATTAAACCTAAAGTCCACGTGTAGGGTAGATTTCAGAAATAATAGGATCTTCTATCCAGTGCGTTAAAAAGCCTCTTTTTAGTAATCTTGTTAGTTTGTATAATCCAACGTTCATCACGAATGAATATCAGCCCCCTCAGAGACGTTTTCACTGGTGTGGTACTATGGGAGCACGCGGAGATCCCTCCTCTCCGCCTTGCATGATCATGAATGACGGTTCCGACCTCAGCTTTAAGGAGAATTCACACTTGTCTTGGCTCTAGGGCACATCCTGCTTTAGACTCGGGAAGCTCTGTCTTTTATCTGCATATGTCTGCAGTTAAAACGCATCTCTTCTGAAAAGAAAAGTCACACCTGCCCTACAGAGGAAGCAGCGAGCCCAAAGTGGGAATAACTGTAAGCCAGAAGCCGGCCTGAATTCTTTTTTGAAAAGTCTACCCGGGGGTAGCACCGGGAGTTAGCAACCGAGCTCAGCGTCGCGTCACGTGTCTGCAGCGGCTGCGGGATTGGAGGAGCGCATTTTAGCGCTGCGGTCTAGGCACGGACGGTCCCGCCCAGCTGCCAGACGAGCGGGGTAGCGGAGAGAAGAAGCCACCAGAAGACCGTGGAGGGGAGGGGGCGGGAGGGGGGTGGGGCAGCCTTTGCCACCCACGGCCTGGAGCCTGGGAGAACAAGAAGCGAAGGCAGGCTGTCCGCCTCATCACAACTTGCCCAGACAAGACACGCTTTATCTTGCACCCTGGAAGAAGGAGCCGGCCTGCCTCTCCCTGTTCGGTTGCCCCGCCTCTGCGCCAGCAGCAGTCCCGGGATCTGGAGCCCTGGTGACGCCCCGTGGCTTGAAGAGCCCGGCTCTCGCCCAGGAGCGCGCAGCTGGGGTGAGCCGAGCTCTGGGATGCTCCAGGCGCCCGCCTGACTTCTAGGACACAGAGCATCTCGCATCCCTGCTGGCGGAATCGGGCCTTCTTCCCCATTCTGCCTGCTGAGATCCGCAACGCTGCAGATCCGCCAGGGCCCTCAACCAACCTTTGCTTTCTAGGGCTCGGCTTCCCGAACCTTTGTCTTTGCGCACGGTGCGGTGTTCCCAGAACAGCACTTGCCGCACAGCGCTGGGAACCGGGCCTGGGGTGGAGAGAAGGGGGGTGGGCAGGAAAGTGTGCCCCCTGTCTTCCTGTTCCGGCCATCTTGTGGTCGAGATTTGACCTGGGGGGAAGGATGGCTAACCGCAGATGCCCTAAGCTCCAGGGGTGACCGCCAAGCCTGTAGCTTGGGCCTGCGCGTCCTTACTGGGTATGCAGGGGGAGCGCGCGAGCCTCCCCGCGTTCAGCTAGCGGGCCTTTGGAAAAGAAAAGAAGGAGCGTCCATCCCTTTAACAGGCCAAAGGCAAAGGAAATGTAAGGGATATGGACCTGGAGCCACTGTCTCTTTAACCAAGCACCTAACTCTTTGGGCCGTTTTTTGTTTGGTTGGTTGTTTTTGTTTGCTTGTTTGTTTGTTTCCTAGCACATTCCTCCTCTCTCTTGCTCGCACTAGGTACTGGAAATACAGTGGTGAGCAACACGTCTCTCCTGTTCCCGCTGTTCCCGCCAGCCCAGTGGATGGAGCCCAGAATCCACAAACCTGCCAGGTCAGTATCCCAGTAGATCAACAGATGGAGAAACTGAGGACCGGGGTCAACAGATGTGTTCTGGGTTAGGCACCACGCACACGGAAGAATCAATCTTTTAAACTGTCTGTGTGCTTAGCGTTTTTATTCTAGGCTGCAGCAAAATCTGCTTCTCCCACAGCCCCAGATTCTTGTGAATGCATGGCTTATATGAAGTGTGTGTTTTATTCCCCGGACACTTTCCTGTGAATCTCCTTATTCTGTACGGAAAGTGCTCAGACTTGTGCATCTCACCTTCAAGTTAGTTACCGTGAATTGTATTTTCCTTTCTTCTTGTTCACGTATTTGGTTGTTAGGAAAGAAAAACAAATTCCTGATGGTTGGTCCAAGCAGGGCCTCCATGGTGGATTGAGGAATCCCTGGCTTTCCCTCAGCTCCTTGACCACTGGCAGCCTCCAGAAGACCCCCACGATGAGAGGCCTGGGGTCTGCAGGCCACTGCTAGAATTTTTTAAAGATTGCAGCACCGACATAGATTTGTAAGGTAAATACTGTAGCCCAGTTACCTTGGTAGAACGCTGACGGTTGGAGTTCCCATCTGTTTTTAACCTCAGCATTTTGAGAAATGCTTTTGGAATGACAGACTGTTACACATATTGGGTTAGCTATTTGCTTTGTGTTTTAACAAGATGTCGAAGTTAAGCTGCCAATCCACAGAGGAGGAACAGCCCCATTAAAAAAGTATGTTGAAAGAAACACTAGCTTTAAAAGGCTGATAAAGTTAACTCTTCTGTGGTGTAATATGAAATACACACTCTCAATTTTAAACGTACCATTCTGTTAAAAATCGGCAAACGTATATATACATGCAGATAATTAACAGCGGAGTCAGCTTGCAGAGCATCCAGTCCTTATGCTCCTCAGTTAAGGATAAACTTCTGTTGCTACGCATTTCCCAAATATGTGGAAAAGATAAAGGCGAGTGTGTATACATTTCTAATCTCAAAACCTAACTCTGGCATGAGGGTAGATAGCCAGGAGACCAACCACATCTAGGAATGAAGATTCTGGAAATGCGACCCCCAAGCATATTTCAGAGGCTTCCCGGGACCTGTCTTTTGGGACCAGGGAGGGTGGTGTCGGGGGGGGGGGGTGGCTGCCCAGAGATGCCCGCTCCGGATGGGTGAGGAGTGTGGGTCTCCGGCTGGTCCAAGGGTCTCTTGCCCTTCTGGTTCCACAGGTCCCTGGGCGCATGCTGAACGCGCGTGGGCGGACACGCCCTGTGCTCCAGGTCGGGGCTGGGCGCTGCCATAGCAACGTCCTGGACGCCCAGATCTTAGGCCGCCGCCGCCGCAGCGGGGGTCTGGGCCTTCAGCGGCTCACGAGGGGTGTGGCGGCGGCGGCCCCGAGGCGGCCCGGGCCAGGTAGACTACACTGCCCCGCCCCTCCAGCGCAAGCCTAGGCGGCGGACTGGTTTGCAAGCATGGTAAGATGCACGAGGCCGGAGGTACCTGTCCGGGATGCAGGGCGGGGACGGTGGGTTCCCTGGGACTGTGGGCTGGTAGCCCCTCCGCCTCCCGCCACGCTGTCTCTTCCTCCACAGCCCTTCCAGAAGCACGTCTATTACCCTCTGGCCAACAGCCCCGAGGGGCCCGACGCCTCTGCCGCAGGCGCGGCCCCCATGGCCTTTGTCCCCCCCAGAGCGGCCTCGGGGCCCCTACCCTTCTTCCAGTTCCGGCCGCGACTGGAGAGCGTGGACTGGAGGCGGCTGAGCGCCATCGACGTGGACAAGGTGGCCGGCGCCGTGGACGTCCTGACGCTGCAGGAGAACATCATGAACATTACCTTCTGCAAGCTGGAGGATGAGAAGTGCCCGCACTGCCAGTCAGGGGTGGACCCCGTGCTGCTGAAGCTGATCCGCCTGGCGCAGCTCACCATCGAATACCTGATGCATTCGCAGGAGTTCCTCACCTCCCAGCTAAACCTGGTGGAGGAGAGGCTGCGCCTGAGCCTGATCGACTATGAGCAGAGCAAGCAGCTGCTCACCAAGCAGGCTGGCGAGATCAAACTTCTGAAGGACGAGTGCAAACGCAGGAAGAAGATGCTGTCCACGCAGCAGCTGATGATCGAGGCCAAAGCCAGCTATTACCAGGTGGGACACTGTACCGGGCCCGTTCTCTTTAGCAGACCTACCCTTCCCATTCTTCCCGGAGATTTAAATGTTCCCCAGAGAAAACGGGTTAAGGCAAAAATATTCACTTTAATCAACAGAGAAAATGTTCCATTACCTTCTGCAGCCACCAAGGGATTGATAGTTAGGTATCTACTATTGTCAGCAGGACTTAAGAGGTTACCCAAATGTTGCTTGTTGAACCTGTTTCCTCTGTATAATAGATGTGAAAAAAATGCTATTGAGGTTGGCCTCCAAATGACCTGGCATATGATTCAATATTCGAGCCCCCCCCCCCGCCCTCTTTTAAAATTTAATTTCCCCCCCAAATGACAAAGTGTCAGAGTAGACCCCTCTGACCTGCATTTGCCACACCTTTGTATCTCCTCTAGCCCTGTTTCGTTCCTACACAGAAACCATCTCACAGTGAGCAGCAGACTCCGAAGTTTAAATGCGTGCAGTTATAAAAGACAAGAATACCAACATTAGCATGCATTTAAAGAATTAAACATCTTTTGAATCTGATCGTAATCTCTGTTACGAAGTAGACATTGGGCCCAGGATAAACACTGCAATTTTGAAATCAGTGTACAGGTTGAGTATCTCTTGCTTTGAAATGCCTAGGACCAGAAATGTTTTGAACTTTGGAATAGTTGCATTCGTCCAATGAGGTATCTTGGGCCTGGGACTCAAATCTAAATATTTATGTGTATGTGCCCATGCCCATATGACCCAGTACAGGTGCACAAGGAGGCCAGAGAGGGTCAGAGCTCTTGGAACCGGAGATATGGGTGGGTCCTGAGCCACCCGATGTGGGCTCCACCCGATGTGGGCACTGAGACTCCAGCCTGGGTCCTCTCTGAGAACAGTAAAGGCTCTCCAGCCCATGAGACCCAAATCTAAACACAAAGTTAATGGATGTTTCAAATACAACCTACAGTGATGGACTTAAGTTGGTTTTATGTAATATTTTTAGTTTGCCTGCATTTTGACTGAGACCCAGGGTGTGGTGTTGGGTGTGGGAGGTTAGACTGGTGGAAAGCAGTCTACGCTTCGGAGCATTTTGGATTCAGGACTTTCAGGTTAGGGAGACACTTTTTACCCATTTGGGACACTCTGTAAGTGGTTTCAATGGTCTTCGGGATATGGAGCTATAGACATAGGCCGAGGCGGAGTAGTGATGCGATTCATAGTGAGTGAGACAAGCAAATCCGTCAGAAGTCCTGGGAGAAGTGTCCTTCCGGTTGGGAAAGAATACCGTGGGTGAGCTCTGGGAATGGGAATGGCTTGGTTCTGCTCCCGTCAAATGACACTCGATGTCCTGCGGGAGGGGGCTGTTTTACAAATGCAGTCTAAAAATTACATACTTGTAAGACGCCTGTGTGTCTAATTTAAGGGGGACATCTGCCAGGAGGCGGTGCTTCAGGTGGCTGGCTTTGCCTGCAGGCAGGTGGGGGCGCTCACTGTGGACCCTTGAATCTGTTGCTGTCTTTGCAGTGCCATTTCTGTGACAAGGCCTTTATGAACCAGGCTTTCCTTCAAAGCCACATCCAACGCCGCCACACTGAGGAGTCTCACCTTGGTAAGGCACGGTTCATATCCGTTATTTTCTTTCTGCTCCCTTTCCCTTTCTCAGTGATACGTGCTCCTTTTCAAAGAGAGACTGCTAGGCCGTGCTCACCCAGGGGTAAGTGTTGAGGCCTCGCGTGTGTGTGTGTGTGTGTGTGTGTGTGTGTGTGTGTGTGTGCGCGCGCGCGCTCACAGGACCCTGACTGCTGAGGGCACAGCTGTGAGCAGACGGCACAAGTCCCACCTCAAACCTTCCCTGTAACGGAGATCCAAAGAGACACTTGGACCAACGCAGTGGTTTCCAGGTGCCCAGTGCTAAGAAAGTATCAAAGGCTGAGAAGGACAAAGACAGGGGAAATCACTCCAGGTGGCCTTTGAAGGCCGTTTCTATCCAGAGAGCAGAGTCCTGAAGTTATAGTATGGTGAGAATCAAGGACTAGAGCATCACAGGTTCAAGGACTCCTGACAGCAGCGAGGGGCGAGAGGCCGCACAAAGAAAGGAGACTGGAGGAGTGGCGTGAGTGAGTTGGTGGGCGTGAGAAGCCTGGGGGACTGATCCCAGGAGGCCGGGAAGGCCCTGGCCCGTGGGCGTTCTGAGTGCAAGGTGGGAAGTCCTGTTTCATAGAGAAGAAGGATGCTGTGATTTGCACCTTAAGGAGAACTCACAAGCTGCAGGTGCACAGCCCACAAGGGCATTAGAGGAAGCTGGTAGAAGGAGGAGGAAGGGTGCACGGGAGTCCAGGTGAGGAGAGGAGGAAGCCAAGTGTGGGATGGTTCCAGGACAGAGGGAGAGGAAAAGAACGTGTGTGAATGTGCGTTGGACACAGAGCCTGCAGAGTTACGACGTGGGGTGAGGGGAGGCGAAGCCCTACTCCTGTGTAGATGAACATTCCCTGCGATGGAGGGTCGGGGTGGGAAGAAACGTGGAGGAATGCAGGGATAAGAGCGTGTGTGTTGGCCACACATGCGTCTGTCTGCATCACACGCACAAGGGACATGCACTGACATCTGCAGATGGAAGCTCAGGGTGGATGAGAGATCTGGGAGTCCCTGGAGGACAGTGGGCTGGCTGAAGCCGTCTAGCTAGAGGTCAGGAGACCCAGGGCCAATACTAGGCCTCCCAGCATAGGTCCTCAAGAAAGGCAGCTAGGAGGTCCCCCGAGGCTGACCTGGGGAGTGTGCAGTCTTGAACGGCAAGTGGAAAAGTGTTCCTAGAAGATGGCAGTGGTCAAGGATATCAGATGTTCCGGAAGTAAAGATGGACCGTTGCTGTACAGTTGTTAGCCTTGACACAGCAGCTTCAAAGAAGCGATAAGACGACAGGTCAGTTTGAGTGGACTGAGTCGGCAGTCGGTGAGGAAAGGCTCTTAAGCCACGCGCGTGTGTATGTTAGTGTGCGCTGAGAAGGGGAGAGGCCCCGAGCTATCACCTCCACTGAAACGTGGAAATTCTTTTATATGTTTGGATGCTGATGGGAAATAGCCAGAAAGTAGAGGTGGAAATAAAGACTCAGAAATGGGAGCGGGTGCTGCGGTTTACCAAGGAGCCAGCCCTCTCCCTGCTTGAATGTTCTCCAAGAATGCACGGTGGCCTCGTCCTCCAGCAGGGTGGGTGTTGCACCGTTATAACCTACAGAAGTGTCCTCAGTAGGTTTCCTTCGTCTGTAACCAGCGTGTTTGTATTCCCACCCACTGTGCAAAAAAACAAAAAAACAAAAAAAACAAAAAAAAAAACCGGACAGCAGAAATTCTCACTCTAAAGCATGGGCTGCTGACACAAGAAAGTGGTGTTACTGGAAACGTGGGGGGGTGTGGAAACTGTTTGTAACTGACCTACCATTCTTCAGTGTGAAACTGACCTCTGCCTCTCTGTTTCAGTATTTCTAATTCTACCTCATACTCGTGTCAGAGAGCGTTTCAGACTCTGAAATGAGTATTATCTCTTCAGGTCATCTTTGAGATTCTGACTTTCTGCTTTGGTTTGCATACCTTTCATGTCTACACTCACAGCACATGTATTCCCATTCAGTCATGTGTACACCCTCATGTAAGTACATGGACATAATAAGTACCTCTCCTCCCCTTCACGCGTTGCTTCCCACGTCAACTTTCCGGTTCCTCCGCTTTTGCCCTAGTTGATAGATGACTGCCCTCTCCGTATGACCAATGGCAGGGACTTTAGGAACCCTGCTAGGAGGCAGCCCAAACAGTGTTGACTGCGTGGCTTCAGTATTGTGGCTCTCGAAGGCGAAGCCTTTGCCTCTCTGCTTTGAGTGGGACGGGCTTCCCAAGAGTCCAGAGCACCAGTGGGTCCTCACAACTAGGACTGCTCCCCCCCCACAGGGCTCTCGCCCCATCCCCACAAATAATCAACCTTAGCACAGTGAGTGGCTGGAAGGAGCCACCGAGGTTAACGAAGCGCCTGGTGATACAACGGGCTCCAGATAAACACTAAAGAACAGGGCTGGCCTCATGGCAGAAGGGAAGTGTTAATGTCCCAAGTGAGACCATTTTCTTTTGTCTTATCCGTAGAGCTGTGCCCTGTAAGGTTTTTAAGTGAGTGCATGAGAAACTAGATTTTTTTCTGGATCCTAAGTAGATTTTCTGTCGCAACAGAGTATAATACAAAGGCCCAGACCGACAGGCTCCAGAAGGAGGTTGACATGTTAAAGGAGCAGCTGCAGCTCACTAGGTCTCAGCTGGAGTCTGCCCAGTACGCCCATGCAATCCGGTTCTCTAAGGTAGGGCATAGGGTTCTGTGCTGCAGATAATGCAATTACTAGTACTTCAAAAGATGCGGGGAAACAGGGGTGTATGTGTATGGTACATGCGTGTTGTGTGCACCGTGTGTGTATGTGCTTATGCACACACATGTAGGCCAGGGCCCTTATTCCTTTGAGACAGGATCTGTCACTAACCCTGGAGCAAGGCTGGATGCCCTGGAGCCTCAGCAGCACTGGGGTTATATAGCCTTATGTGTGGCCGTCCTGGGATTTGAACTCAGGTCCTTATGCTTATGCAGCCAGCACTGTTAACTACCAAACCGTATCCCCAGGGTCCAGACGTGGGTTTTGGATTCTATTTTTACATTTATTTATCACTCGATAAATGTGGATGGACATGTGGAGGTCAGCGGACAGCTGCTAGAGTTGTCTCTTTCCTTCCAGCTCGTGAGTCCTGGGGTCAAAGTCAGGTTGCCAGGATCAAGGGCCCTTTCCTCGTGAGCCATCTTCCCTGTTCCCTAGCTATGTTTCAATCCAGAAGAATCACTGTGTATAGACCTGCTGTGTTAGGAAGTGTTATTACAATTTGGAAGAACCACTGTGTGTAGACCTAGCGTTTGTTATTACTGGTCTACTTCAAAGAAGAAACACTAAAAGATTTGGGATGAAGCTACGGTTTGTTTCGAAATTTATTTGCGCATCTGCTTCGTTCCTTCAGTGACACATATTAAAACAATTTCAGGAACACGAAACGCAGAAGACAAAAGAGGACGACTTCCTGAAGCTATTTGATAGATGGAAAGAGGAAGAAAAGGAGAAGTTACTCGATGAAATGGAGAAGGTCAAGGAGATGTTCATGAAGGAATTTAAAGAATTGACTTCTAAGAATTCAGCATTAGAATATGTGAGTATTTACCCTGGAAGTTCTCATAGTGTTGCTTGCTTTGAGACAGTGTTAGCATGGCGCTGCGGCCTGAGGATCAGACATCTTACTGTGCCTGACACACACAGCCCCTCCCTCCTTCCAGGGGGCGTGAGGCTCATGGGAGGCGGAGCCAGTGAGAGGAATTGTTTTGTTATGAGTGAGCCCTCTCTACAGGCTCTAGTACGGAACACTGGAACACTCGTTTGTTCAGCTTCCAGAAGAAATTCACTCTTTCCTTATTCGGTTGCCTTTAAAAAGCCTTAAACCACAGACCCTTCTCCGAAATGTAGAATGTTCCAAGTAGTGGATAGAAAGGCTGACTCACCAAGGTAAGACAAGGATGGCGTGGAGTCCTCACTCCACGCCTGAGCTATGAAGAGGATTGGGTCTCCACAGTAAGCAGGATGTGGGAGTGGGCTCTGCCAGTTGGGAAACAGCGGTGGCCCGTAGACTTGTGTGATGGAAAACTCACTGCCTGGGGCTGGGACCTTCATCTTCCTGTTCCTTTGGATCTGAAAACTGGAGAAAAGGAAGAGGGACCTGAGGGTGGTCCTTGGGCTCCCTCTAGGGGCCGACAGGTTTTAGAAACAAAACTAAAGGCTACCGTGGACCAAGGCCACAATGCTTTCCTTTCCTTTCCTGCCCAGCTTCCTGTCTGTGTTAGAGTAGGTCACGTTGTCTCATCAGGCTCTTTTGTCTTTTTGAGTGTTCCGAGCTTGTTATTGAGGAACCCAACGATTTATAGAAGTGTGGGTTGTTTGTATCGGAAGCCCTGCTGGCGGTTCATCCTGCTCAGCACGAGTTTATGTGGGCTGGGTCTTGGAGACAGTGTTACTCATCACAGCATGCCCAGTGCACACACGGACATCATGGTCTCACTCTGGCCTTAGCAGTAGTGACGGTGGGAACACACGTCTCTGCTGAAAAGCTGCTTTGCTCTCAGTGGCTGCTGGGAGCACACAGTGAGAGCAGGCGAAATGTTACCTTTACTGCCTGCTGCTGTCCAGGTTTGGACATTACATTATCTTAACTTCTTAGAACTAGCTGCTACAGTCTGTGTTGCTATAGCCCAGTAATCCAGCACGCAGGAGGCCCAGCAAGAGTTCAAGACCAGCTTGGGCAACCTAGCAAAACCTGCCTCTAGACAGACAGACAGACAGACAGACAGAAAGGGACAAATATGCCCAGTTCCTCTCACAGACGCTGTGTTTCTGCCAAACATTTAAAGACCCTCCTTCAAAGGCCAGAACGTCAATCTGGGGCCAGAGGGCTACTTCAGCAAGACAAGCATTTGCTGTGTAAAAGCTGCAGACTCAAGTTCAACTCCACCAATCCTCATACAGGCAGGCAGGCAGAGAGAACTCACTACCCAGTTGTCCTTGGGCGACCATGTAATCAGTGTGGCATGTCCTACCCCCTAGTAGTAAATCACTTTCTAAAACTTAGTTTCCCTTTATTTTTTCAGTTATATAAATGTCTAACGTCTCTATTGGCGATATTTGTTTTCATTCACAGCAATTGTTAGAGCTACAGAAGTCCAATATGCAGATCAAGTCCAACATAGGCACCTTACGAGACGTCAGTGAGTTTAAAGAAGACCATCTCCCACACCCCCAGGATCTACAAAACATGCTGCAGCTCCTGGACAACCAGGTATGACACGGGCGATGCCCAGAGCCACCATTTGTAACATTTATTCCATTATTTGTGTGTACATCTTCGTGAGGTTATGTGTACAGTGTGTGACACATATGCACTGCCCACACAGGCCAGAAGGGGGCGTTGGATCCCATGGAACTGGAGCTACAGGTGGGGTTTTTTTGTTTTGTTTTTTAACTGTTTAAGGCTTTTATTTGTGAGTGTGTTATAACAATGATACTTTTATTTAAGAGATTTAGAACTATTCAGGATATTTGCTAATATGGAATTACTGCTTTTCTGGGCTTTTTATTATCATTATTATTATTATTAATATTATTATTAATTTGTTTTTACATTCCAATCCCAGTTCCCCCTCCCTTCTCTCTTCCTGCTCCTCCCAACTCCCCAGTCCCCATCTGCTCCACAGAGAGGGTAAGGCCTCCCCTAGGGAGTCTACTAAGTCTGTTACAGGTGTTTTTAATCCCTAAAAGAGTTACTGAACCCTTGCCCTCTGCAAGAGCAGTCAGCACTCTTAGCCACTGAGCCCGGTCTCCACCCCCTTGGGTTTGTCTTAATGGGTTCATTCACACCAAATGTGTTTGTTTCATTTATTCTTTTTATCCTCCTGCCTCTCGACACGTCTGGTTCATAATGGGTGTTGATTCACAGGTGTGGATACTAATTAGTAGTTAGAATTTTTCAGTTTTCACTAACAGAATGGCAGCTCGTGTCCTTAGGCAGTTCCGCATCGTTGTTAAACTTTTATCCTATTTTTCAGGGGTAGATCTCACTTTCGAAAAATGCACATTGCAGCATCGAGCTCCTTAGTTCACGTTAGCACTACCCTGGGCAAACTTTTGTGTATTTTATTCTCACTTGGGGGTCAGACTCCATAATCGCCCTATAAAAGTTACTTTATCACAGCCGTTCGTGGAAAACAATTGAAAATAAAAAAGGCTAAGGGGTTGGGCTGGCGGGAAGCCTGTGTGAGGCCTCATGTTCACTCCCCACTCTGTGTTGGGGGGCGTCGATTATAACCTATGAGTTCAATAATGATAAGTTTAAAGGCCTTGGAGTCCCTGAGATTGCTCACGGGGTAAAGGACCACCAAGCTCTATGACCTAGGTTCGACCCCCGGCACCCACATTGTAGGAGCAGTGAACCAACTCTCTCCAGTTGTCTTCAGACTTTCATGTGTGTGCAGTGTCAACGCTTGACCACACGCCGATGCATACACGCACATACATGATAAATATATATAGTCAATTCTAATAAAAACAAACCTATGCCATTGTCAAAGGGCAGTGGCATTTAGAAATATGGCCGCTGTTTGTTGTTTCTTGCCTGCCTCCCTTAAAAGCACCTTCTCTGTTAGAGTTGGCTGCATCATCATCTTACCTTAATCTTTCAGCGGTCCCGCCTCCCTGAAGCTCACATACACTTGCAGACTTTTCAACTAGCAACAAGACCTTGTTTCCCACCAGAACGTAATTTACAGCGACGATGTCCCCCTCTGCCCCCAGCGCTCCTCCTTCTGGAAAGCAGTTCGCAACCTGTGGGTTGCAAGCCCCTTGGCTTCCAGTGGCCCTTTCCAGGGGCTGCCTAAGACCATCGGCAGATATTTACAAGATGACTCATAGCAGTAGCAAAATTACAATTGCAAAGAAGAAATGAAAACAATCTCATGGTTGAGGCTCACCGCAACTTGAGGGACTGTCTTAAGGGGCCGCAGCATTTAGGGAGGCTCCCTCATGGCCCCTTTGCCCCCCACCGGGACGGCTGGGCTGCTGCTTCTGCTGCTGGCAGGGACCTGCCTCACACTTAGCTGGAACAACACCTCCTCAGGGTCTTCCCAACTCTCCCCCACGCTATGCCATTTGTTTGGCCAGAACTTAATTATACGCTCTAACGGGGTTCTGTCACCATGGTATCCGCCCCTTTCCCCCACGCCCCTTTCCCGCGTAGACCAGGGTGCCCTTTTAACCATCGTCCAAGCTGCCCGTGGTTGTCCAGCCAGGTGCTTAGCATGAGTAGGGGCCTAGAAGTTGACTCAATTTCCTTCCGCAGACCGTGGTGTCTCCCGTGAACTGAGCCCCTCCCTCCCGCCACGCCAGTCATTAGAGAGGAGAGAGCCGCAATTGAGAAAATGCCACCATAAGATCAGGCTGTGGGCAGCACCGTGGGGCGTCCTCTTAATTAGCGATTAATGGTGGAGGGTCCAGCCCATTGTGGGTGGGCGGTGCCACCAGGCCCTGGATGAGGAAGCCATCGGGAACAAGCCAGTAAGCAGCGTGCATACACACACACACACACACACACACACACACACACACACACACGGCCTCTGCATCAGCTCTGGACTCCAGGACCCTGTCCGGCTTGAGTTCTGTCCTGACTTCCGTTGACAGTGAACTTTGATGATCTGTGATGTGGGAGTGTAAGCCAGCGAATGACACCCCCCCCCCAAAGGGTTTGGTCATGGTGTTTCATCACAGCTCTGGTGACCCTGACTATGCATCCTCACCACCACAGTGTGACCGACCCCGCTGGCTCCACTTGCTAGCCTGAAACACTGACTACTCTCCAACAGAAACACCTGCTGTCCCAACCCCGCAGGAAGCCCAGGGAGGAATGAATGGGTTCAGACACTGCGGCCACATTTACTCCAGAAATGCCAGCCAAAGTTACACTAGGTTGTCGGGTTTCATAGGTACCCAGTGAACGGCCAAAGCTCCACTGTGGAGTAGCTGTCTGTGTTGCTGATTCAGACAAATCACTTGCTTTCTCTCTCCAGGCAAGCAAGTGGTCAGATCGATTTCAAGTTCTCAACGAGGAACACAGCAAGGAGAAGGGACAGGTAAGACTGAGAACCTGGGAGCCTCTGTCTAAGTCAGTCACCCCTGCCCCCTTCCCTCCAGTGCCGAGGATGGACCTCAGGCATCACACACTCAATCACACTCACACACACGCACATACACACACACATGCACACACTCAATCACACACACACTCACATGCACACACTCAATCACACTCTCACACACTCACATGCACACACTCACATGCACACACTCAATCACACTCTCACACACTCACACACACATGCATGCACATACTCAATCACACACACTCACACACACACATGCACATACACACACACTCACACACACATGCACATACACACACACTCACACACACATGCATGCACACACACATGCATGCACACACACTCACACACACATGCATGCACACACACATGCATGCACACACTCACACACACATGCATGCACACACTCAATCACACACACTCACTCACACACACATGCATGCACATACTCGCACACACACACTCACACACACATGCATGCACACACTCACACACATGCATGCACATACACACATGCATGCACACACTCAATCACACACACTCACTCACACACACATGCATGCACATACTCACACACACTCATACACACACGCATGCACACATGCATGCACACACTCAATCACACACACTCACACACACATGCACATACACACACACTCACACACACATGCATGCACACACTCAATCACACACACTCAATCACACTCACACACACTCACACACGCACATACACACATGCATGCACACACTCAATCACACTCACACACACACCACACACACAGATACACACACATGCATGCACATACACACACACACACCACACATCAGATACACACACATGCATGCACACACTCAATCACACACACTCAATCACACTCACACACACACCACACACACAGATACACACATGCATGCACATACACACACACACACACACACACCACACACCACACAGCACACATCACATACACATGCCACATACATGTTGGCTGTTTTTGAAAAGAATTTCTAATTTATTCAGTAATGAAAGTAGTACATCCCTACTTAACATTTCAGGAGAAATGAGTGACAAAGCTGAAGTTATTTATAGATCTGAAACAAAATTAAGCACTTGCTCCTCCTTTCTGAGTTCCTGTTCAACTTTCTTTCTATGTTATAAATGGTGACTTTCTTTTTCTAAGCTAGTTGTGCTTTGAGAGTTTCACACATGCATGCAGTGTATTTAGACCGCGCCCATCCCTAGCTCCACCCCAATCTCATTCTAGACTTGGACTTCTCTGCTGTGTCCCCTCCTCCTCCCAAATTCATGTCTCCCTTCTAAAATCTGCCTAAAACACAACCGCTGATTCCAGTCAGTGTCACCCATATGCACATGGGTACCACAGCCATGACGAACAGTGGCCCTGTCTCCCCTGTAGGCATCACTGCCCGCAGCTCCTCAGCTCCAGGTGGGGCCTCTTGAGCGCCTCCCCCTCCATACTGGACTGCTGAGTGGCCTTCTCTGACGTAGGCAACCACAGCCTCCTGGAGTTCACCAGTGAAGCAACATCCTGTTCATAGTCCGATGACACTGGAGCCTGCCCCCTCTTCTAAGTCCCAGCTCAGAGAGGCACACTGTGCCCTCCTCCTTCCCTTCCTCGGCATGGCATGGCATGCTGCTCTTCCTCTGACGCCCCGTGCCCTTCACCATGGGACTGCTCACTGGCGTAAAGATTCCCTCCCTTCTCCCCATGGCCTCCCTCCCTCCAGGCTGCTGCCAACACTTGCAGCTTGTCAGCATAACCTGCTGGTTTTCTCTTTAACTCTAAAAAAAGAACGTTCTCAAGCTTCCTTCCGAATATGTCTTTAAATCCCCTTATTAACAAGACTAAACCCAAAGGGGAAGCTGACCAGTTTCCTGGGTGACATATCATGCCCAACTGTTTTGTAGATGGGCTCCTCCATCTCTGTGTCCTGCCATCTTCTTATCCTCTCTTCCCTGAGCCTTGGTGCGCGTGCGCATGCGCGTGCGCGCGTGTAGGGAGTAAATGTCCTGTATGGGGATGAACACACACAATCACTGACTCTCTGTACTTGGGTCAGTTGTGAATCTCTATGTTAACCACTGTCCACTGCACAGAGCAGGGTGGAGAGCTATGTTAATCTACAGGTATAGAGGAGGTATTTAGAAGCATTTGATAGCGTCCCATTAGGAAAATACTAGCAGTAAGCTTTCCCCTTTTGCCTACAAACTCTCCAGTCACAACTTCTTGGCCTAGTTTACAGAGCCAGGCAGGAGTCCCTTCCTGTGGAGCAGGCCTTTAACCCGAGCATAAAGTGATTGGTTACTCCTACAACATTCATGCCACTATTACACCAATGAGCATATCTAAATGTAGCACCATAAATAAAAGGCCCACAGACAGATGTTGGGGTTCAAGCCTCAAGCTAGAGATCAGAAAAGCAAAGCATCCGGCCAGTAGCTCCTTCTAGCTCAGTCTGAAAGGGCTGGTCCACAGGCTCTTCACCAGGCCTCAGACGGCTGCCTCTCCTCAGCGTGGCTGGAGAAAATCCAGAGACACTGGGCTCCAGTCTTTTACACACCTCTCTAGGGCTGGGATTAAAGACGTGATCCCAGGTGCTGAGATCACCTTGGTGTGAGCTGTTTCTCTTAGCCCTGGATCAATTTCACATAGTCAGTGTGGCCTTGAACTAACAGAGATCTGCCTGCCTCTTTCTCCCAAGTGGTGGGATTAAAAGGTGTGTATCATCACTGCCTGGCTTCTATAGCCTGTGGCTGGCTGACTTTGCTTTCTGAATTCTCAGGCAAGCTTTAATAAATCATAAATAATATGTCACCAAATCAAAATGTTATATTTCTTTACAAAAATTGAATTTGCACTTTCTAGATAATAAGTACTTTATGCTTAAAAGTATGATGATCTTAGATGTTTCATGTGTCCATGATTTTTATGTTATTGAATTTTATATATCTATTTTTTTTTTTTGCATTTCAAAGCTGGAACATAAATAAAAGACTGTTAACATTAAGGACCTAATGAAAACAAAACTTTGTTATAAATGTGATTCCCTGATCCATATTCAGTGTGTACATCAGAAGATTTGTTTGTTTGCTTTCTAATAGTATTGTCTTTTGTGGCCTCTGTGTTGCTAACAGACCTTTTTTCTGCATAGAATACTGTTTGCTCATCCACATTCCTTAAAATAACATTTCTTCAGTACTAAGTACAGCTTTCATATAGTAGGGAGAGTATCCTATTACCAAAGATTATATAGTCGTGTGTGTGTGTGTGCATGCATGTTCACATGCCATGTGATCATATGTGCACTGTATGTGTGGGCACAGGTTGATGTAAGGACTCGGGCATTGGGCTGGCCCGCCCCTGTCACCTGGCAGAATGCACTCAGGCGGTGCCCTGGTCAGCACAGGTGCAAAGGACCCCTTTAAAAGACAGACCTCCTCCTACTTACACGTTCTCTCTCTCTCTCCCTCTCTCTCTCCCAGCTCTCTCTTTTCTGCTCTCTCTTTCTGTCCCCCCCACACACCCCCAGCCTTCCCGCCTGCCTTCCCTGCGGTTCTCCTGGGGCAGACAGGACTTTTTCCTGTTTTCTTCTGTCCTCTCTCTGTGTCTCTTTACCTCTTTTACTGTCCCTCTCCCTCCCCTTTCTAACACAACTTCTCATTTAAGCTCTCTGTCTGCCTGGAGTGTTTGTCCCTCTGCCTCTCCGGCAGTGGAATCCGCCAAGGTCCCCCTCCCGCTTTATCCTAACAGTTGATGCTGAGCATATCTTGTCCAATCGCTGTCCACTGAGGCAGGATCTCTTGCTGAACCTGGAGCTTGGTGATGCGGACAGTTGGACAGCTGGCTGGACCCAGGGGTCGTGCCCACCACCTCCCAAGTACAGCAACCTGCTCAGCTGTTCCTCGGTGCCGGGTGTCTGAACTCTGCTCCTTGTGCTTGTGCACGTGTACTTTACCCCCGGATCTTTCTAGCCTCATCCGGGTCTCTCTTTTTGTGGACACGGAAAGCCTATCCGTTTGTTCTTCTCCGGCAGCTTCCCTTGCATCAGTTTTCGGCTCGCTGTGGCAGACTGTCCCAGATTTAGCCTCCAACGGTCCACGTAAATCATCTCATACAGTCTGTGGGACGGGAGTCTTAGGCTCGACTGACTTGCTGAGGCTCACGAACCCCCAAGCTGTACTCTGAACGTTACCTAGGTTGTGTTTCCCTGTGGAGCTCTTTAGGGTTAGCCTGGGTTAGCTTCTGGAAGGTGCATCCCTCCACAGGGATCCCCAGCGTGGTCATTGGCCTCACGGCCCTCTGGGACCGTCCCTCGCTTTCACCTTCCTCTTTGGGAAGAGTCTGGAACTTAAGGGGCCTAAGGCTGGGCTGTGCCCGGCCAGGGTATGCCGCCCCTCTGTCTGCTGGCCCTGCTGTTTAGAAGCTGCCTCACTTACACCCCAACAGTGAATTAATCAAACGCAGGCATCTCCGCCCGAGACCTAGTAATTATTACACGTGACTGGCGCCCACTCTCCCCACAATGTACATACTATGTCTCTCTGCTTTGGGGAAGTTGCCTGTGCCAGCTTGTTATTGCTTTAGCCAGGTTCTTGGCAGTCTTTTTCCTTTTTAAAATAACATTGGTGGGAGTTCAAAGGGAGTCACAGATAATCCGAGGTGTGACCTTCCGACCCAGCCTGAGAGCCTGGGGTGGGGGTGGGGGGGGTGTTATGGTCACATGGTGACAGAGGTGACTGGTGTTATGGGCAAGGGTTCAGAGCACAGCAGGGAGCTTGAAAAGATACCACACATGCAGACACACACACTCACACACAAACACACACCACACACACACATAGACACACACACCACACACACTCACACACACCACACACACATACTACTCAAACAGACACACCACACACACCACACACATACTCACACACACACACACTACTCACGCAGATAGACACACATACCACACACACATGTGCATACACACACACATGCACACACACTCAAACACACTCACACACACCACAGATACATGCACACACACATAGACACACTCACACCACATACCACACTCACACACACGCACACACACACACTCACTCACACGCGCACACACTCACACACACACACACACACACACAGGGGCTCCGAGAGATAGTATCCGACTGTCTTGTTGAAGCTCTGAATTCCTCTCTCATCATATTCTACACCTTTCTTGACTGTGGTATCACGGTGACGTCACCCCTTGATTTTGATTTTTTTTTCTGGGTTCCCTTGCTTCCTGAGGGCTGGCATAGCTCCTCAGTCTGATGCGCTCCACTCCAACCCCGAGCATTTTTACTAGAATTTCTTTCTGATTTCTAAGGGTTTCTCAGATGGCCTGTGGAGGTCATGGGGACATGCCCCTCCAACCATCTAGATGTGTTGAGTTTTTGTTTTGTCTTGTGACAAGGTGTCATTAAGTAGCCCTGACTGCTTTAGAACTCACAAGTAGATGAAGCTGACTTTGAACTCACAGAGATCTGCCTGCCTCTTGCCTCCCAAGTGCTGGGATGCAAGTCTTGCACTACTATGCCTGAAAGTTCTGGACACTTTGTTTCTTGGGGGAGTTCTTGGAATCCAGCAGGCTCTAAGTGTTCTTCTCTGGCTGCCCACATGCTGAAGCCCAGTGTTTGTACATTCGCTTTTTGGGAACCCAGGGACCTTCACAGACAAGACCATGACATGTGCAGATCCTTCACTCTGAAGCCAGGTGCGCGAGTCACTTTTGTTGCCTCTCCAGACCTGAGTTTCCACATTGTACCATGAGTCTAGACTGCATTTCTGTAGCATCATTGGGATACACAAGATCGGGGGATACTTAGCATCGTAGCAAGTGTTGACTTAAACCTCACCACCAAGCTGAAGGGGACATACTGTCCTTGCAGAGGCCGGAAGTTCAGTTCCCAGATCCCATACCCAGTAGCTTCTCAATGCTTACACCCAGCTCCAGACACTTGTGTGCACAGACCCACACAGGCAGACACCTATACACAAAGTTAAAACTCAGTCTTTCAAAGAAGCAAGCAAGAGCAGAAAGAGCCCACTACACGCTCATCCCATCATCGGACAAAGCTGTTTCCCTCCGTCTGATGGATGAGTCCACCCCGCTGGCTTCCCATGAGGTGTCAGATGCAGACTATCCTGAGTACCAGTTACCAAGCTGCCTTATGACTCGTTTTGTTTTTCTATTCCCATTCTGTTTTGTCAGCTACTGAAATTGCTTGAACAGGCATTGCTTAAATTACCAGAAGCGTTTTTTTTTTTTTTTTTTCTTGGCTTTAAGTTTCTGTGTCAGTTTATGGGCGACTGTGACAAAGTGCATGGCAAAGGCAGCTTAAGGCAGGCCTTACTCTGGCTCACAGTTGTCCTTGGATGGGGAGCTCCGGGCAGCTGACTGCATTACGCCTCACTGTGGAGAAACAAAGAAGTGAATGTCACCTCTCAGGTCCCCTTCAGCTTCTTGTCCAGTCCAGGACCTGTCTGGTAGAATGACGCCCACGCTCACGGTGGGTCTTCCTGCTTCAGACAGCTCGGTTGAGAAAATCCTGTGCAGACAAGCTTAGTTCCTTTCTGTGTTGGGTTCCAGATCCCACTAAGATGACAAGGCAAGGTTGACCATCGCACGGGCCAAGGAGTTGGCCCAGCAGTTAAAGAGCTTGCCACACAAGAGGACAGGAGTTCAGGTACCGGGAACCGTGGAAGTGCTCAGCAGACTCGGCAGCCTTGGAAGGCTGTTGGGATTAGCCACATCAGCTAGTTCAGGGCTGGGTTGAGATAGTCTGCCTGAATAAGATGAGATGAGGGGTAATGAGGAAGACGCCCAGCGTCAACCGTGGGCCTCCTCATGGACATGGGCACGTGTGTGCGTTCTCACATTCGCACACACGGACCACACGCACGTACTGGGAGAAAGAAGAAAGAGGTTAACCGTCATAGTCTCTAAAGACGCATCTATGGCATTTTACCCCCTCTCTCTCCATTTGGTACTCCCTCCCCCCTTCTCCCTCTATTCTTGAAGCCCCTACCTGTACGGACCTGTGATTATGCTGATCGCTGGGAGAATAAAATGGACCACATGGACTCTCCAGCGCACGGTTGCCCAACCGAGCTGCGTGTTACGCGTGGATCTAAGGGCAGGGGCCAGGGCTGTGTAAAAAGTTCATCCCAGAGGCGAGACCCTCATCCTTAGTCACCACCGAGCAGCTGCGTGTTAGTTCATAGAACCCGCTCAAGTTGACTCAGCTGCCCACCTGGTCAGCCTTTTCTGTCTCAGGTCATGAACTGCAAGTCCAGCCAGGGCCTTGGAATGCATTGCCTGAAGATTTTTCCGAATAATGACTCAATGCACGGAGACCACAAGGGAGCCAGCAGAGAAGTCAACACGAGTGCATAAAATCTGCAAACGAGAAAAAACCGAAAAGCTCATGCGTGCGCGCGCGCACCCTGAGGACTGATGTGCCCCCCACTTGCTCTTCCCTCCTCCAGCTCCTGTCACACATAGAGAAGCTCCGAAGCTCGATGATGGAAGATCTGAGTGCAGATAATGTTTTCTACAAGAGGCGGGTAGAAGAGCTGGGCCAGAAAGTGCAGGAGCAGAGTGAGCTCATCCTCAGTCAGAAGCAACAGGTACCTCGGGGAGGGTTCCGCACCGGAGGAATCTGCACTGAGAGGGGCCCTGCGCCAAAAGCGCCCCCGTCCCCCCCCCCCACAAAGCGCCTTTGATCTGAGGACCGAGGGGCTTAGTCTATGGCATCCTAAGTTGAAGATGATGGGAGTGGACCACTTCCTCCCTGGGATTACTTGCAAGAGTAAATGCATCCAAATAAATGGTCCCCGAAGCTACTTTAGACACAGAGATGCCTCAGACAATGCATATGAGGGTTAGGTAGGTCTTTTGTTCAAGATCACTTGGAGAAAAATAGCCGTTCGTATTGCTTTTCTACAATTCCTTCCTCTGTCAGGAGGTGCATGTTGGTGTGAGTCAGTGAAAAGGTTAATTTACCAAGGACCATGTGTGGCTTCCAGCGATCTGTCCATCTCTTGTCTAGAACATGAATTGCTAGCAGACTGTTTTTGTCTTTTGCAGATTAGAGAATTTACCAGTAAACCATACGGCAGTGTTGGTGAGCTGAAAGGTAAGGACAGGACACCTGTGATATAGCCTAAGTGATTTGCCTGACAGCTTTGGGTACAGAAAATCTGGGCCTGCTGATTTGTGACTACTAAAGTAGCATTTTACTTGGAATTTTTATTTGGGATATGTGTCCTCATGTTCTTTTAGTATTTGAGAGACATGTTGTCATTACCCAGGAATTTTAAGAATTAAGAAAATCTAAACTCATTTAATATTTTATATGTAATTCATTCAGCAACTTTGTGCACAGCTCTGTTTAGTGGTCATTTGCCTCCTTGTGAGTGTTTTTGCCTGCATGTATGTATGCATGTGTGTGTGCCGTGTGCGTGCAGGACCAGTGTGGAGGCCAGAAGAGGGTGTCAGATCCCCGGGAACTGGAGCGACAGATGGTAGTGAGCTGCCGTGTGGGTGCTGGGAAACTAAACCCAAGTCCTCTGCAAGCGCAGCAAACACCCCTAACCACTGAACCATCTTTCCTGCCCTGCGTCCCGTCTCTGGATTTATACACATACGACAGGGCCTAGGAAGAGTGAGTTCAAACCCCCCCTACCCCCTCCACCTCCCCCACTCCCCCATCTTTGTGAGTGTGTATTCAGCTTCTTCGTCTCTAACACTGGAGGTTTAATAGAAGCTACACTCAAGCTTTGATACCGGGATTAAATGGAGTAACAACCCACTTGAAGTACACCAGTGACGCGCTAGTGCTAGCTTTCAGTGTGGACATTAAACACGTAACTCCTCAAGTTCTGCAAAGGCTTTCTGCATCCCCTGCCTCTGTTAGCTTAGGGTTGCAGCTTGGTCCCAGGAGTGGCCTACAGCAGCAGAAGCCTGGCCATCTCTCCTGTCAGGCACGCTCTGGGCCAGAAGAAAATCGCAGCTAAAAGCTAGACTTCTGCCCGCAGGTTCCAGGCTTGGCCTCGGCGTGGCCCAGATTGTAAAGGACACACACTGCCTGGTTTGGTAATGGGACACAAGCTGAATTTCCTCCCGTCTTTTTATGGGATAGATAAATAAAGAGAGGAGACAGGTTTATAATTTCCTTCAACTTCTCTTAGAACAACGAGTGCCCGGGTGACAAGATGTACAGACTAATGCTTATTTAAATATAGTTGGCTGGAAGCCATTTTTTTAAAAAAAAGCCTTAAAAGAACTCGAGCCAAGCCCGCTGCGCAGAGCCAGGCGCTCTACGTCATGCAGGCTTCCCAGCTGCTTTTCTGGTGGCAGAATTTAGGACAGCTTGCTGCCAAAGCCTGCTCCTGTGTTACAGTTTTCACTTTTAACTTATATTTTTTGTCATTTCAGCGAACGCCCTGCCCTGGCAAGCACCGGACTGTAAGTCAGCCGTCCCCGCCGCACCCAGTAAGTGTGTAGGTTCCTCATGCTCTTGTTTTTGGTTTTGTTTTTTTCCTTGCTTACTGACTTTATTCTAGGGACTTTTTTTTCCCCCCTTGGAAACGATGTATTTGGTGATGACATGCGGTCCATTTTGGTTCTGACTTTGACCCAACCCTGTAACCCAAGGCTGTCGATCTCGTAACTCAGTTTTGATTTGGCAGTTTGACTTGTAAAGGAACGCGTAAGAGAGAATGTTGGCATCATGCAAGTTCACATTTGGGGAAGAGCATGATCAGTGGCCAAGGTTACTCTGACGTGACCGGGACTGGATACTGAGGATTTTAGCAGGTCCCCCGTCGTCCTTACTTGTGATCAGACCTGGGGACTGGGGAGAGGGCTGCGTAGTAAAATCTTTGCTATGCAAGCCTGAGGACTTGAGTTTGATCCCCAGCACCCAGGGACAAGCGAGGGATTAGCTGGGTGCAGTAGCACAGGTCTATAACCCCAGTACCAGGGGGTGGAGAGGGGAATCTCCAGGGCTTGTTAGCTAGGTGGTCTAGCCAAATCTGCAAGCTCTGGGTTCAGAGATCCCATCTGGATGTGATTGATAGCTGTCATAGTAGGGCCACACCTTTAATCCCAGCACTCGGGAGGCAGAGGCAGGTGGATCTCTCTGGGTTCCAGGCCAGCCCGGTCTACAGAGCGAGTTCCAGAACAGCCAGGGCTGTTGCACAGAGAAACCCTGTCTCAAAAAACAAAAACAAAAAACAAAACAAGCAAACAAGAGACAGGGTTTCTCTGTGTTGCTTTGGAGCCTGTCCTGGAACTCGCTCTGTAGAGCAGACTGGCCTCAAACTCAGAGAGCTCCGCCTGCCTCTGCCTCCCGAGTGCTGAGGTCAAAGGCGTGCGCCATCAATGCCACACCATACTTTTTTGTTTTCACTGATAGTGAAATAATCTAAATGTTTTTATTTCTGAAAGGAGAAGAAAAGCACTCTGGGTAGAGGAAGTCAGAGAGCAGGTGATACTTGCGAGGGACCGTCAGATCAGATGTGCCCTGTGTACAGGGCTTCGGAGCGCTCCCAGGACTGAGCCTGGGCACAGAGGGGCACCACTCACGAGACCAGGACAGGACTGCATGGTGACAGAAGCACATCACCACTGTGGTGCTTAGGAGCTTGGCTAACAGATTTCACTGCCGTCTTTACAGGGGCTTCCTCTTTGAACCCTCTTAAAGCCAGAGAGGTTGGAAGGTGGAGAGAGGGGAGGGAGAGGGGCTAAGAGCAGGATCTGGACTCAGGACCTAAAATACACACTTCAGGGAGGAGAGGAAAGTTAAAAGAATAGCCAACAAAGAAAATGGTGCCAAATATACGAGCAGAAAAGAAAAGAAACAGCAGTCACAGATTTTCTCCGAGTGGAGAGTCCAGATAGTCTAGGATAGGAAACCATATCCAATGGGGTATGAGAAATCAATTGCTAAGATTTTGATATATGATAGAATTCATTCTTTAATTTTTCAAGTATTTTTTTGGTTTTAAATGAATATAATGTTTGCATGGCTGTTTGTGTAAATTTACCTAAAGAAGTATGTGGTACAGATATGGTAAGAAAATGTATTGATGTCATTGGGATTAGAAGAATTGGGGGTGGGTGGTCCATAGCCCATACATAGGGGTCCCAAGGGCAGCTTACTCTCCCCCAGTTCCTCCTCCAGCTCGGAGAAAGATCTAAAAGTCCCGTTGGAGGGATGACAGTGAAGTTCTCTTCATGAAAGACAACACACACCCTACAGTTTCAGATGAGAAAATCCAAATAATAATGGAAAGGTCGGCATTGGAGTGACATAATCAAAAAATCTAACCCATCCGTGGCGAGATGGAGGCTTTCCAGTTCCCAGGTGGATATGGTCAGATCTGTGGACCGCCAGGGAGAGTCTCAGTGGTCAGATCTGTGGACCACCGGGGAGCTTCTCAGTGGTCAGATCTGTGGACCTCCAGGGAGAGTCTCAGAGGTCAGATATGTGGACCGCCAGGGTGAGTCTCAGTGGTCAGATCTGTGGACCGCCAGGGAGCTTCTCAGTGGTCAGATCTGTGGACCTCCAGGGAGAGTCTCAGTGGTCAGATCTGTGGACTGCCAGGGTGAGTCTCAGTGGTCAGATCTGTGGACCGCCGGGGTGAGTCTCAGTGGTCAGATCTGTGGACCACTGGGAAGCTTCTCAGTGGTGAGATCTGTGGACCGCTGGGGTGAGTCTCAGTGTTGTCTGGGATGGTCTGACTTCCCTGCTACCATCAGGAGTGACGTTAGAAGCGTCGGTTAGGAGGAGCCTGGTGATCAGGCTTAGATCTTAGTCATTTCAGTCAGTCCCCTTACCCCTTAGTGCCTTCTGTCTTAAGGGAGAGGCCGCACCTTAGTAATTTCTATCCTTTAGTGCCCTCATCAGAGGGGAGAGTGTTCCGTGGCTTTGGAGGCATGCTGTGAGAGGACGAGTCCCATCAAAGCCCAATCTTCTGACTTTAAAGCTGGGGAAACATCTAGATTTTTTTTCTTTCCCCAATGATTTTTTTTTCTTCCTGTAAAGGAATGGGTATTGAGAGAGTAACTGTTTGAAATTACATAGTAAGATGCTCTTCTGAAACTATACAACTCCAGTGTGACATTACAGAACAAGCCATAGATGGTAAAACAGTGATCTTGGCTATGTTTCAATAAAACTTTGTTGACAGAAACATCAGCAGGCCCGATATTTCTCACAGGCTGTCATTCGCAAAACCTTGATTGAACAAGTCCAGACGTTCTGTTTTCTAACTGTGCAGCAGTTTGTGGACAGGTGTGAGTGGAATGTTGTTGCCAGTATTTATTGTAAAAAGTTGCAAGTGTACAGAGGCAACAAGGTTATGGCCAGTGTTTTTAGGGTAGGATTAGGGTTAAAGATGAACTAGAGAAAGAAATAATAGACTAATAGGTAAGTTGTTTAACAGGGAGGAAAAAAATCTGTGTAATCAGATACTCCAAGGACTCTAGATAGGAATTGTGAAATCTTGGGGAAGAGGCTGGGGGGATTTGCCTTTCTAAAGAAATAGCATTTAGTATTGACCTAGTCAGGTTCCCTCTGTCTAAAGTTCCACCTGAATTAATAATTCTTTCACCTCTAGCGTCATGCTTGGGGTGGTTTACAGAACTCACTCTTCCTAAATGGAAACAGCATCAATGCCCATCATGTAATAGACAGGTGGGGTCTAGTTTCACACTGGAATGTTACATGACCATGAAAATAATGCTAATTTTCACATCAGTGAAAACATGCCAACTCAAAGAAGCCAGAACGCATAGTTTTATATGTGTGAAATGTCCAGTCAAGTCACAGACAAACAAAGGACTGTGTCTAAAGACACAGCTAAAGAGGCAGGTAGAGGAGCCACAATAGCTAACAGGTATTGGCACTTGGGGAAGACTGATAAATGCCCTAAGATTAGCTAGAGATTGTGGCCACACAGTCCTGTGACTATCCTAAAGGCTACACACACATACATGTACATGGGTGCACGTGCGTACACACACACACACACACCAGTAATTACTTCTCAGTACAGTTATTTATTTTTAAAGGTAGTAGAGTGCTTCGCCACCAAGTACCGGCTCTGAGCTTTATCACAAGCACCTCGAAATAATAAATTTAAATAAATTAAGCCAAGTGCATAGCATCTGTTGTTTGAGACACGGGCTTCCTGTGTGCTGTCTGTGTCTTTTTTGGAGGCTGTGTGGTCAGATGCTTGACCTGTAACGACGACGAGGCCAATGAGCTTTTCCTTTTGTTCTGTTTCAGTGAGTGCCCCCGCCACAAAGATTCTGGACGGTGCATCCAGCCTGACCACGGTGCATGGTAGGTCTCAACAGCGGTCTCCATGTTTCGGGTGCAGCTCCCACCCCAACTTAGATAACTCATTAACCCAGATTGCCGGCAGGGTTGGATTATATAAACCAGGAAACACTTTAGTAACTACAACATGGTTAGTAAAAACGTCTGCCTTCACGGAGTACACGACCGAAAACCGAACGCGCTGCCAAAGCCATAAAGCGTGCGGAGCGTGCGTGTGTCGTGGGGCTCACCAACGGCACCTTTAACTCCCATACTTCATTTATTTATGGTCTCCGAGGAGGTGGTAGTTCCCCGGGAAGACCAGTCAACCAGCACATGTCCCACAGGGCATTCTTGCTTGTTTTTGTAACCTTCAGTGTGGTGGCAAGTCACCTTTTAAAAATAAACAGTCGCAGCGATTGGTCAGGAAGATGCGGAGAAAAGATAGAAACCAAAGGCAACAGACTGGGCAAGGCACCGGGGGATGAAATCCCTGCCAGAACTCGTTCCCCAGTCAGCATGAAGGGTTGGAAGTGTTATAACCACACCCGGGAAGATGGGTGGCGATTCGCAGCTGTAACCCCCTTATTGGCCTGGGGTTCCCTCAGCTTTTATCCTCTGCCCTTTGTGTGTCTTCCCATGTCCCAGGAAACAAACACGCTCGGTAGCTAACAGAACGTAGCTGCTGTATGCCACCAAGGAGCATGCTACATCCCTGTCTTGTCTAAAAGTGGTTTAGGATCTGATCACCGCCTTCCACCCTGGGTCTTGACCCTTAAAAGCACAGATGAAAGCTGAGTAGCAGCTGAGATGGCTCTCAAGGGTGGGGTTAGAACCTGGGTCTCCAGAAGCCACATCTGTAACCCGAGTGCTACTGAGGTGAATGGGAGGTAGAGACGGGGAGTCCCTGGAGGCTCCCGCAGCAGCCCAGCGCAGGAAACAGTAAATGTGGTGGGGGCCAGGACTGCACCTCACTCCCCTGACTTCATACTCACCCGCACGGACACAACTGAACACACATGTGTGTGTGCGCATGCATGTGCACGCGCGCGCGCACACACACACACACACACACACACACACACACACACACACACTGAAATAAGAACAGAAGACTACAGTGGAGATACAGAAAAGTGTCTCTGTAGACAAAGGGTTTGCTGCCAGGCCTGGTAGCCTGGGTTTGATCCCTTGTTTGGTTGACTATATCTTAAATAGTATACAGGTAATGAAGAGAGAATGGGCCAGCCACTTCAATCCCAGAAAGGAGCAGAATCTTTGTGTAAATAAAGCTTTATTGGGGGTGGGGGTAAATACTTGCATATAAAAGTCTTATAAGGCAGGGGAGATTAAAATATTTGAATTCCTTGTCATAGGAGCACGAGTTTTAGCGTTTGATAGAAAAGGCCCATGTTTAGTGTGTCTAATAAATCCCTCCTCTTCAGACATTCTCTGCCCTGTCTTGGAATAAGAACCTGCAAATGAGGAGGGAGTTAGCAAGAGCTGCCTGCAGTGAGCCAGAGTCAGACCCCAGTAGAAGGGATCAGTCACTCCACCCACTGTATTAGCATAGTTTAAGGTGAGCCTGCCTCCCTAGAGGGGCGGCTGCTTGGCCAGGGGACTGGCCTGGATACCATGTGGGTTTTTAAAAACTTAAACCAAGGCTGGAGAGATGGCTGAGATATTAAACAGCACTGGCTGTTGTTCTAGAGGATCCAGGTTAGATTCCCCGTGCCACCCTGGGAGCTCGCAACCTTTACTAGGGATCTGGTACTCTCTTCTGGCTTCTACACTGTTCCCAGAGTACACAGATATAAATGGCAGTCAAAATCCCTATAATACATAAAAACAAGATGGAAAAAATTATTTTAACCATGAAATTAGTTGTTTTTATTAGATCTGTCATTTCTGCATTTCAAGCTAGACATAATTTTAAAATCTCAATGCCAAACGACAACTCTGAAAACTTTTTGTGGTACGTAATGGATTTAAATTTCCCTTCAAGGAGCTATGGGCCCATTTCAAATTTAAAGTGTCTCCTACCTAGAAATAGACTGTGTTCAAAGATCTTTTAAAGCTGGGTGGTAGTGGTGGTGCATGCCTTTAATCCTAACACTCAGGAGGCAGAGGCAGGTGGGTTTCTGTGAGTTCAAGGCCAGCCTGGTCCACAAAGCAAATTCCAGGATGGCCAGGGCTAAACAGAATAATCCTGTCTAGAGAAATCATGAAAGAAAGAGAGAGAGAAAAGATAGTTTAGAATGCATTTCTCTCAAACAACTGATGATAGACAATAGATTGACTAGATTTCTGGCAAAGCAAGAGTTGACGCATATATATATATATATATATATATATATATATATATATATGTATATACATATATAATATTATATATATATATTTCACATATATAGTATATATACACATGTAAATTTATTGACTCACACAGCCACACCTCCATCCAAATTAGTGTACTAGGAACACCCAATAATAAAAGCCAGACTTTCCAAATGGGAAGTGTTAGATGTGTTAACAACTCAGATCAGTTCCTGGCTGCCCTGTGAACACTCAGTAACTGTTGGCTCACTGACCATTTGTTGTGTGACAAACTTTTCTTGGGGAGATGCAGCATACGTGTCTACTCACCCCACATAGGGAGCCCACAGCAGGTCAAAGTACAAATACAACCAAACTCAAAGCCCAACTTGGTGAACCGGTGAGTTTTAGCTACAGGAATGTGGGGGAGGGGTTACTCACAGGAGCAGAAATGACTCAAAGGCAGCTGCATCCCCAAAGCCCACCCCAGCATGGCTGACTAGGCTCGGACCCTGGAGCCTGCAGGCAGCTCAGCTGGCTGGAGAGTGTCTGCTCTAAACCTCTTCCCGGAAGCTCTGCTGGTTTCCGCTTCTCCCAGGCAGCTGGTCTGCTCTCAGAGTGTTTGCAGCCTAGCTCTGTCTCGGAGGGAATCTCTGCTTTTATTGCATACTCTGGCAGGGAGGGACCTGGTGAGTCTGCTCAGCTTCAGGGACTTCCTGGAGTTATTTTGTTTACCTCCATGCTTAAGGAGCTTCCTGCAGGATACAATGCTTCTATCTTGGAGGAAACTGTTACACAACACAGTTCTGGAGGCTGGGATAGAAGGGAATAGCTTTCATCTCCAAGGTGAAAGTAAAGTGTCAAGTACAGAGGCGTTCTTTGTCATCTCTGAGCCAAGGTGGGTGAGCCACGTAACGTGTAAGCCAGCGTTGATGCCTAAATCCTGAATGCGCTCACTGCGCCTACTCCAGGTGGCATCTCCTTTCGGAGGGGGTTGGTTTGATTGAGCTCCTGGCAGATTTCTTTGTGCAGGTGGATAGCATGTCACTCCTGAATGTCAACCAGAGAAGTCATTCCCCAGTCTCCAGCTGAGGTCTGGGGTAACGTGCGGCTCTCTTCATCTTACCTGGCTGTGGGCCAGTCTTTTCTGTAGTCTGTAGCCTCACCTGAGGCTCTCCAGGACAGAACTCAAATTTCGGGACATGCATGTCTTTATGACTGCTTACCTGCCACTGTCTCGCACTCGTATTTTGCTGGTTCTTCATCTTGCCACACTGCTAGCCAACAAACAGTTCAGAATATTGACGGGTGGCCAGGCATGGGTGTGAGCTATCCAGGCCTGGTACATCCCTCTTGGGAGGTCTGGTACCCTATTTATTTCTGGCATTCTATTTTAGGTAGATGGCTCATTGGAAAAGAGTTTTGAAGTTGTACCCTGTGTGTCAGACAAGAGATTAATGAATGGGAAGTTTTAACTTGAATGCTTAAAATACATAGTTTTAAAATGATATTCGCAGTTAATAGAAAATGCCTAGAAATTGAAGAGAAAAAGTGACCAGTTGTAGCTGGCGCAGCCAGGCGTGGCAGCTCACGGTTATAATCTCGTCATTTAGGAAGTGGAATCGAGAGAGTCAAAGGCTAGCCTCAGCTACGTAAGACCCTAAGTCTAAAAATTAAATAAATAAAATAGTAAAATCAAAAGCGACCCCCTCAATATTATCCCAGTACATCTTTGTTATGTTGGCAAAATGCGTCTGTGGGCATGTGTATCTACGGTAGTTTGTATATGCATGTACATGTGTATAAACTATTTGGGAGGAAACAAACATGTTTCTGTTGTTCCTTTCTGCCCTCATGAACAGAGCAGGCCTTCTCGTCACACGTACTAGAGCCAATAGAAGAACTTTCTTCAGAGGAGGAAAAAGGTAAGAAATCGCCAAGCATTATTTACTCAGGTACGGACCTTCAAATCCAAGTCCCGCTGCACATCATGCCATACCGAGAACAAGAAAGGCGTTTAGATTTGGTTGTAGTGTTGCCCGGCATGACATTCAGTATTATATCCTGTTCCCCTAATGTCCCTGTATGCCCTGCTTTATTCCGTTTTTCTGCGGGTAAGTATAATAAATTTCCCAGTCCTTTGTTTGAATATAGATACTCTGGCCAGATGACAAAGGACGCGTGCATTGTACACCAGATGATGTGAAATGGTTTGTGTCAGAGTGGCGTCTCACAGTGATAGTCTGAAGTGTCTGTTTCCAAACCGCCGTTTGTTCCAGTGCTGGGGACTGAACCAGGGGCCTTTCCCATGCTTGGCAAGGGTTCTATCAGGGAGCCATAGTCCCAGCACCTGGTATGAAGTAGAGAGAAATAAGGCCCCATGGTGGGATGTAACAGCTGTTGTAATGGGGCTGATGAACTGATATTTCTAACATATTTCATTTGGCATTTCCAAAAGTTGCTTTTACATATTTTTTGAAGTTTATGAAAATTGTGTCTTTTTTCTTTTTCTTTTTCTTTCTTTTTTTTTTCTCTGTAGCTTTGGAGGCTGCCCTGCAAGACAGGGTTTCTCTTTGTAGCCCTGACATTTTTGGAACTCTTTCTGTGGACCAGGCTGGCCTCGAACTCATAGAGCTCCACCTGTGTGTTTTCTAACGTTAGACAGATCGGATCCCTTTGAGCAGACAGTGGTCGTTGCCTGACTCTGCTGCGGGGAACAGAACCCAGATCCCTTGGGAGAGCGAGGGTTGCTCGTAACTACCCAGCCATCTCTTCAGCCACAATACGTAAAGTTTTAATAGTTCTTGCAACTCCTGTGTTGATAGGATCTTACCATTTTTTTTCTTATTTTTTACAAAGCTACAAATTGAAAAACGACTAGACCAGTCCTGTTCATAATATCTACATGATATATATTTTTAAGTCCTGGTGTTGCTATATTAATCATTGGCATTTTAAAACACACACTTTTAATGAGGTTTGTTTTCATGTATCTGTACAAGTTTTTAAAATTTTACTTACTAGTTTTAGTGGTAGCGATATGACCCTTTTTCCCTGAGCCCTACACTGGCCAACTAGATAGCAAAGTCAGTGATTTAGAATATGCGTTTTGATTTTATTATTTGATTGTCATCAGTTCTTAGGACAGAGTTTTTTGTTGTTTGGTTAAGCATTTGGATTTTTGTTTTGTTTTGACTGGTTTTGCTTTTTGTCTCTGTGTGTATGTGTGTGGCTGCAGAATGTTCTAGAGTACCAGTAGTTACTCAGCCTTGTGATGCTAACAGTATAAGATTTAAGATGACCTCTGACTTTTAATGGCATATTCGTATTATACTTTGATATTCCCAGCTGAGTAAACTAGAATAGCAAAGTATTAAAAAACATATCTTCGTGTAGGATTTTTTTTCTATTTAATATGCAAACTAACTTGGCTGAATTTGTTTTTTGTGCAAGTTAATTAATAGATGGACATTTTGGCTCATGCTTATAACCCTAGCATTTCATCACCGTGACTTTGAGGCCAGCCTGGGCTCAAACAGAAACCCCACAGAAAACATCTTCATCAATATAATAGAATGTGATTTAATATTGGGATCAGACAGCTGTCTGGAAAAACGTGTACAGCAAAAGGCATTTTTTTTTTATGATCTTCCACAAATCCAGGTGGCAGCAGCAGCTAACAGTACCATCTGCTAAGACAGGAGAGTAGTTGGGGATGGGGTGGGGTGGGAGGGTCCCCACAGCCAGTCTGAAAGAAGGCACACACATCTTGCTGGCTTATGGCCAGTCCTTTCGAATGCTTGGACATGGGATCCTAGAATGGTAGCGTGTTTGTGAGACATTCTTTCGGATCTGGCCTTGGACGGTCTCTAAGATTCTGACCTGTCACATATTGGGTCTTTTAAGTAGGTCTTAAACCACCTTGGACAGAGTGAGCCTCACTGTTAGGATGCTGTTAGGATGCTGTTCCACACGCTCTGGAAATAGGCGTGTTTTTAAAGTGGGCAGGACAGGTAGAATTGGGCAAGTGGAGGTTGTAGTTACTGGGTTCCGTTCCAGAACCACAAAGAGGAAAGGAGAAACGTGCAATTGGGGATAGAAAATGAAAAGAACATGTCCTGGGTTTTTTTTTTTTTTTTCTGATTTTTTTCCTTTGTTTGGCTTTTTTGTTTTAAATTATAGGTTTTTTCACTTCGTTAACCTCTTTTCTGTTTGGTGGAAATCTGGAAGAGGGGAATAATCACCCAGTTTAATGTGCACTTAGCATGCACTAAATTTATCTCCTTAAAACTTGAATAAAGTTTAAATCGATTGGACTTTTTCTCTTTATAAGATAAATTCTAACTGACAAACATTAAACATTAAAGAAATATAACATCTGTTTCTTAAGTTGATTAACTGTAATTTGGGTAAGCAATCCGTAGTTTTAGAAGTCACTATGTTCTGAGGCAGACTTAAAACAGTTTTAGAAGCTAAGATACTTACTGTAAAATACCCGAACCTTAAAATCTTTACAGATGTTTACTTTCTGTCTTGAAGTTGTGTGTTGTCACTTTCCACTGAGAAATAATTTGTACAATTCTCTTCAAATCTGCTTTATAATAAACCTTAATTCAGGGCGAGAAAATGAACAGAAATTAAGTAAGAAGACGCATTTCAGGAAAACTCTGAGGAACAACCCCTCCTCTAAGGGACTAAGGACAAACTTGGAGAAGGAGCTGAGCAAGAAGCTGAGGAGCTTCGGGATTGACGCGGTATGTTCGTTCATGGTCTGGACATTTGCTTGTTATGTCCCATTCTCTAACCCAGGATGCACGAGAGAGAAGGGAGCTTCTTAACTCTGTCCGATTAGAGGCTGCCTGCTGATGAAACTCAGGTTAGCAGAGCTCTCGGCGGCATTTGCTATCTACCTCGTTCCGAAGACCTTAACACATACAAACTTATTTATTAGCAGAGGAATAAAACTTGGAATAAGTGGCATTGTCATTTGTTTTATATAAAGATTAGATAACTTTGTATTAGGAGCCAGAGTGTGTATGGGGAGTTGTAGTGCATTGATACATTCTGAATAACACATTCTGAGATTCCCGTCATATAACTGCTCATTACAAAGCCAGCACTTAGTAAATGGTAGGTTTCATCTTGAAACCAAATTAAATCATCTGAGCACAACTTCTTACGTATAAACCCTTTGTGCTTTTAAGATCTTTATTAGAACACACTGAGTGTATAAATCCTAACAATCTGATAAATTCATTTGTGTGCTGATAAATAGATGGGTACTTACATAGCTGTATGTGTATGAATATACATATGTATTATATGAAAATGCATGTACACATATTCACACGGATGAACATATATATGGAAACGTGAACGTATTCATGCTTATGCATGGTAGATGGGTATAGTATGTATGTGTATGTAGATGTGTATACATACATGTGTGTGTAGCTGTATGTCACAGGTGCTTGTGTGTAGGCACAGGTATAGATAAAGCTGTGTATTTATGTGTGGATGCATTTGTATGCATCTATATATTCATACGTGCACATGCACACACATATATTTGAGTAAACATATGGGTACATTGCAGAGTACGTCCATGTCTGTGTGCTTATATGTGTGTGTCTATAGGTTCATGGATGGGTTTGTGTGAGAGAATTGTTCACCACCACGCAGAGGGTAGCCCTGCACATTTCTAGTACCCTAGAAGGTCCCCTGTATCTTTCTTGCCTGTGTCCCCAACTCCTCTCCAACAAAGGGTGGCGGGCGTTCACAGGAGCGGGGCCACGTCCAGGGGCCGTTCTGCATCTGGCCTCTTTTGATGATGCTCCTCCAGTCCGTGTGGTTAGAGTCTGCTTCACGCTCCAGCAGGTATCCCTTTGTTTGCCTTGCTGTGGCATTGAGTTGTATGAATCCCATGCAGTTGTATCTCCCTTACTGAAAGTGATGCGCAAGGCTCCCACGGGGGCCTATTCTGGCTACTAAGTCTTCAGTGTGAGCAAAGAACATCAAAGTAAGTGTCTTTTTATTGGAGGTATATATCTAGGAATGGCTTTGCTGGGTCAAGAGGCAGACAAGTCTATCCTCATAGCTGCTCCATGTCTTTAAACGGTTCTTAGTATTATCAGTCTATGATTTCTTAGAGTGTTGTAGGGGTGTTGAGCCATAACTACGGCAGTGGAAATCAAGACACAATCATGCAGTATCCACAATTCCTACGCAGATGCCCTTGAGACTAAACTTTCCTGTTTGCTGTTTCTATGAGTTTTGGGGGTTTGAATTTTAATCAGAGCCTTATCTATATTTTTTTTCTCCTAGTGTTTGGGGACATGTTTGTTTGTTTCCTGGTTTGGGATGTGTGTGTGTGTGTGTATGTGTGTGTGTGTGTTCAGAAGTAGAAAAGTTTAACTTTGTTTCCATTTGAAGCAGGTTGTCCTGATACCGTTGTCTCTGTGATCCACATTTGCTGATCAGTTGGAATAATGCTTTTATTATGTGTGCATCTGTGTCTGCTGTGGCCTTTCAGTTACTGTACCACACCTGTTAGTTAGTCAGTCAGTCAGTCAATTAGTCAGTCAGTCAGTCAGTCAGCTAGTTAGTTAGCTAGCCAGTCAGTCAGTCAGTCAGGCAGTCACTTAGTTAGTCAGTTAATTAGTCAGTTAGTCAGTCAGTCAGTCAGTCAATTAGTCAGTTAGTCAGTCAGTCAGTCAGTTATCTAGTTAGTTAGCTAGTTAGTTAGTCAGTTAGTCAGTCAGTCAGTTAGTCAGTTAATTAGTCAGTTAGTCAGTCAGTCAGTCAATTAGTCAGTTAGTCAGTCAGTCAGTCAGTTATCTAGTTAGTTAGCTAGTTAGTTAGTCAGTTAGTCAGTCAGTCAGTTAGTCAGTTAATTAGTCAGTTAGTCAGTCAGTCAGTCAATTAGTCAGTTAGTCAGTCAGTCAGTCAGTTATCTAGTTAGTTAGCTAGTTAGTTAGTCAGTTAGTCAGTCAGTCAGTTAGTCAGTTAATTAGTCAGTTAGCCAGTCAGTCAGTCAATTAGTCAGTTAGTCAGTCAGTCAGTCAGTTATCTAGTTAGTTAGCTAGTTAGTTAGTCAGTTAGTCAGTCAGTCAGTTAGTCAGTTAATTAGTCAGTTAGCCAGTCAGTCAGTCAGTCAGTCAGGAAGTCAGTCAGTTATCTAGTTAGTTAGTTAGTTAGTTAGTTAGTTAGTTAGTTAGTTAGCCAGCCAGCCAGCCAGTCAGTCAGTCAGTCAGTCAGTCAGTCAGGAAGTCGGTCAGTTATCTAGTTAGTTAGTTAGTTAGCTAGTTAGTTAGTTAGCCAGTCAGTCAGGCAGTCAGGCAGTCAGTCAGTCAGTCAGTCAGGAAGTCAGTCAGTTATCTAGTTAGTTAGCTAGTTAGTTAGTTAGCCAGTCAGTCAGGCAGTCAGGCAGTCAGTCAGTCGCTAGCTAGTGCAGGGACTACAGGCGTGCACCACCCCACGCTAACTAACTTACACTGGCCGCATACTTTGCTGCCCCCTCTGAGCCACGATTTCACTCATCTTCCCTCTTGAAATGTTTCACAAGTCCCTCCGTTTCTCTTTGTGTATTGAACTTGAGAAAACCACTCCCCATTCCAGGTGAGCCACCATTAGAACTCTGCTGGGAGCTGTTTGCAGTTCCGCGTGTTAATTAGGGAGGTGACAGCTGTATCATATTAGATCTCTCTCTCTCTCTCTCTCTCTCTCTCTCTCTCTCTCTCTCACACACGGTATAGGATGGCAGACGTCAGGCTGAGGGTCACAGGAAAATATGGGGAGTCTGCAGTGACGGGAAGAAGTTGTTCGGATCAAGGCAATGACTAGGCCCTCGCCTGATGACAGATGCCCCTCCTGGGCAATAGTGTGGGGTAGTGAGGCCACCCCTGGGGTGTGGAGCACTGGAGGAAGAGGGTGGTAGAAGGAGGGTGGGAATGAAGACGGGATGAGTCAGACCCAGACCTCCTCAGATCACCTCTTTACTTACGCAGATTCGTAATGGAAGGTTACCTGAAAGCTTTCTTGTCCCTGTGGGGTGACTGCCGGGCTTTCGAGGTCAGCACTCAGTGTTCTCTTTTCGGTCCATTGCCCAGGCCTTTGTCACATTGAGCCTGGCTATCTCTACCGTAAGGTCCCGTCTTCCTCACAAGGTATCCCCAATGCCCGGCCATCTGGAAACTACTTATTTCTGTTTGTCATCAGAACACGGCTCAGCCTCCTGCGTCAGCCCTCTTGGGAAGATAGGGCCTCCGGTGGCTCTCTTTTTGGAATTCCTCTAGTCTTGGTAGGCTCGTTTGCCACAAAGCATTTCTATGTCAGTTAACCAGTCATAAATAATAGGCACACCTGTATTGCAAGATCCTTTTGGAACAGGAAGAGTTTGTTACACGGTGGGGCATCCGCACCCCCTACCTTAAATGACCAGAGTTAATGGAGGGACAGACATATATCCATAAATGAAAAGCATCCAAGGGCAATGATAACAGGTTGACACGATACCTTATTCCTCCAGGATATACACGGTATCCCATGTGAGATCTTGAACAAATCGCTTAAAGCCATGCAATTAGCCAGACATGATCTAGCAAAACAAGTGCCCAACATTCAGCAAATCCGAGAATCCCTTGAACACCAGCTGATCTGTAAAATCGAGGAGAAGGTGTCACTCTCTTCCGGTAAGCCTGCTGCTACCACCTGGGATTTCACTGCTACAAATGCGAGCTAAGTTTAACAACTTTTTTTTTTTTTAATCGTTTAAATGTTTGCAAACTGTGGTGCTGGCTACTTTTCTTACTGTCTTACTTGAGATGTTGGGTCTTGGGTTATATCGTGAAAGAAACCCTGTCTCACACGTTGGGGTGTATAGATGCCCGTGTTCCTAGCGCTGGCGAGGTAAGGGTGGGTGGGACCCCGGGAGTTCAGAGTGCTTCTTGGCTACTCAGCAGATCCAAGGCCAGCCTAGGCTACAAGAGACACTGTCTCCAATCAATCAATAAATAAATGAATAAATAAATCCAAGAACGAACCCCCGCGTCTGGATTCCATCCTGAGAGGCAGGATTGTTCTTCCCAGTGACACCATGGGTGGTATTCTTGTCATTTGAGCTGGTGGAGACTCATGAACGTTGCTTCTCTTCCAGATAGGCACAACGAACCTCCCTTTACCATCTCTCCGGCTGAAGATGTGCCCAGGGCCGCCCAGCTTCCCCCACAAAGCAGACCACTGACCAGGCAGAGGGCCGTGTTTACTGATAAGATGGCTGTCCCAAAGTGAGTATTTCCGGCTGAAGTTGCTGCAGTAACACATCACAGACGGGATCACTGGGACAATGGGCATTTATTTTGGAGGCTGGGTCCCGGTGTCAGAGATCAAGTTTGTTGCCAGAGGTCGCACAGTGAGCAGGCTCTGGCCTCTTCCTCTTCTGAAGGCAGTGCCTTAGTGGCGACTGACAAAGCGCTATGACCCAGGGAGGCACCTTATCGAAGAAAGCCTTTGATTTGGAGGCTCATGGTTGCAGAGGGTTAGAGTCGGAGACCGTCATGGCCCGGAGCATGGCAGCGGCCCGGCTGGCAGGGGGCTGGAGCTGTCTGTCACAGGAGAGCTAGAGCTGTCTGTCACAGGAGAGCTAAGGGGTGGGTCATTGAATCCTCACAGCTGACCCCCAAGGACACACCTCCTCCAAGAAAGCCACGCCTCCTAAGCTTCCCAAACGGGGACTGTAGCATTTGAGCTTAGAGGGGCCGTTTTTTCATCCTAAGCACCACGGGTGGGAATCCCATCACAGGGACCCCAACCCTTTTACTACATTTACCCCAGAGTCCTGCTTCTGGATGTCAGCACACTTCAGGGCTGTTGGGTCGCAAACACAGAGTCAGTAGCAGTGAATCATATTCACAATGTGCCTGTGCTCTCTGGACGATAACCAAAGACTTTTGTGTTTTCCGTAGACATTTGTGCTAGCTATACTATTTACTCACCCGCTTTAGAAATACTTTTCTGTCTTCCTCTAATTTTTTTTTTTTTTTTTTTTAGACTTAAGAAAAATACCAAAGAAAATCACTTTCTCAGAAAGTTTTCAACTATCAAGTGAGTACTGGGAGGGGTCCTTGGCGGGTGGAGGAGTGGGATGGATGTAAAGTTTCCGAACATTCCTCTCGTGGTAAAGTGGGGGCTCACCGTGATTAAGTAAAGCCGCAGCAGTCATTCGTCAGGGTTACTGTAGCTGGAATTTCTTCCCAGCCTGGTCCCACAGCTGATTATCCACAAGTAAGCACACAGAGACATGTTAGTTATAAAACTGTTGGCCGATTGGCCAGGGCTTCTTATTGACTAGCTCTGCCTTAATTATTAACCCGTAACTACTAAGAGAACACCTGGCTTGTCCTACCTCCTCACCGACATCTACAGGGCATCTCTTCGATGCCTCTCTCTCCTGTCTCCCCAGAATTCACCTCCTCTCCTAGTCCTGCCTACCTTCCTGCCACTACTGGCCAGTCGGTGTTTTATTCGTCAGCCAATAAGAGAGACATACACAGAAGGACATCTCCCATCAGGTTGCTTCTCAGGTCTTTTGTGGTGTATTATCTGAGCCACACCCTCTTCAGTCACTCTGTCACTCGGTAGCGTGTTACCACGTCATGGCCTCCATTAAGAAGAAGAGCCACCCCAGTGTGATTTTTTAACAAGCACATTTAAATAGAACGATGGTGTTTTGGTGGCTGGGTCCATGACCACGTACGTAGGTGTCAAATGATATTTCTGCATTCTGGCTCCTTGTGATGGCTAAGGAAGTCACACTGCCTTCTTCTGGGATCCTTAGATGATGGGAGTCTTTGCTCACACTATCAGCTAACGTCCATCAAATGCTTGTTTTGAGCCTAATTTAAAAAAAAAATGTGTGATATGTGATATTTTCTTGTTTACAGAATACTTCCTTGGTGTTGGCTTGTTTGGTTTTTCAGACAAGGCCTTACTATGTCTCTCTGACTGGCTGGAACTCTCTGACTATGGTGGGCTTGAAGTCCCAGAGATGCTCCTGCCTCCTACTTACTGGGATTAATGGATGGCGTGGAGTACCATACCCGGCTTAGGATCATGTTAAAAATTAAATGGGACTGTGTAAAAGGGTCTTGGCTCTTGAGGTTACTCAATAAGTTGCCAGTATATTTCTGTCTGTAGTTCTGAATGATCCTCATTTTCTCTTAGTGAATGTCGTTGACATCGCCCGAGTCTGGGCATCATAAAGTAGAAATAAATAATGGTTCATCTTTTCACTGGAAAACTCCCTGAGAAGAGCCTCCTCCCATGGGTTATGTGTGATGGGACCAGTGTGCACAGGCATTACAGCTGTCTAGGAATGTTCTCCAAATGACAAACACTGCTCGGAAGTTAGAGGTGGCAATCTATGAGTCAGAAGTAACCGCATTTTAAAAGCTGGAGTAGTTTGAGTGTAGATACGTTTTCGTTCACTGAGAAATGTTTTCCTGAAGCCTTTAAGAGCTAAGAATACCGAGGCGGTACACATCTGGGTTTCGGGGGACCCCAGTTCACTTCAGCGTCATTACAGGCAGATCTGGGTCTGGGATGACCCCTCAGTCTGCACACGGTTCTGGCCTCACTGCCTCCTTGCCTGTGGGCCCAGAGGAGTTCCCTTTGTTGTGTTTTCTGGGAATTACCTCCGGAGGTCCATATCACCTCAAGAGGCAACCATACAAAATCAATATAGAGGATTCCAGGCATGCACCCAAAGGATTCTTAGTGCCAGCACAGAGATATCCACACAGGCGGCTCTCTTTCTTTCTTTACTATTCAGCGTGGCTAGTAAATGCCCCTCAAGAGAGGGATGCATAAGGAGAGCACGGGACATGTACACAACGCCATTTGATTCAGGAGAATGGTTAGGACTAGAAATCGCTCTTTAGCGAACTATCCCATACTCGGAAAGACAAGTATTGAACGTTTTCCCTCATGTGTAGATCCTGGGCTTTAATTTTTATGTATGTGTATGTATCTGTGTGTGGTGGGGTGGGGTGGGGGTGATGTATCAGTCATGTAAACAGGGGAGTCCATGAATGGGGAGAAAGAGGCATTAAGGAATGTTGTGAGGGTAAAAAGGAGGAATGAAAAGAGGTGAACAGGATGTATGTAACAGGAAAGAAAAGAGGTCTACTGCTGGGAAGAGGGGAGGAGAGCGGGGGAGGGGGATTGAGAGGGAGGGGGAGGGGAGGGGGGAGGGGGAGGGGAGAGCAACAAAATCTAAGGTGTGTATGAAAAGTCAGAGTAAAGCCAGTTGTGTGCTAATTAAAAGAAATGATTTTTTTTTTTTTAAAGAAAACAGAAAAAACAAGGCACAGGGTTAGTGAATTCTGAAATGAAGAAACAACGTCCCTGTACCCCCGTTTTTTTGGTTCTGACTTACACAGGACGCCTCCCTTCAGCTCAGAGGAGGAGCTGGACGAAGAGGACTTCATCCAGGCGTACCCAGACTTCCTGAGCCTACAGCCGTCTAAAAACAGCATGAGTAACTTTGGAAAGAGCTGCGTCAGAAGTGACACGGACTGGACAGAGGGAAGTGAAGTGGAGGATTCCGATGTTTCCCCAAAGCCCTCAGGTGAGCCTTGGTCTCCGGAAACCCTACCCACGTTTATTTAGGACAGGGCCCGCCCCCAACCGGCACCAAGCCCTGGGCATCGGAGCTGCTATTGTGTGTGAGGACTGTAGGGCTCATCCCAAAGCCGGCAGAGAGCCACCCGTGTTCACGCGGAAGGGGAAGAGCTGGCTGAGGACGCCCTAGTGAGTGTACAGCTTTCCTGCAGCTGCCTTCGTCACATGCTATAAGCTGAGTGACTTAAGCAACAGAAATCTGTGTGTCCATATTCTGTAGGCCAGGTGAACAAATGCAAGGTGTGCAGGTCCTTTTCTTAAGAGCTGCGAGGGAGGACGTGTTCCGTTTCTCTGGGGCTGGCTATCCTCTCCCTGCCTCTCCCTGTCACCTTCCCCTCCCGGCTTCCCAGTTTTTATAAGGACTGTTCACACAGATCACGGACCTGTGTGTGTGTGTGTGTGTGTGTGTGTGTGTGTGGTTGCACACATGCACATGTGTACACACGTATGAAGGACAGAGGTCAGTATCTTTCCTTTTTTTGAGACAGGGTCTCTTACTTAACCCAGAGCTCGGCGATCCGATTTGACAAGGCTGGCTGGATGTTGAGCTCCAGGAATGTTCTTGCCTCGACCTCGCCCAGCACTGTGGTTTTCCACACATGCCAGCGTAACTGGATTTTTATGTGGGTTCTGGGGATTGAACTCAGGCCCTCGAGGTTGTGTGCAAGCATTTTACTGACTAAGCCATCCCCCTATCCCCATGGGACCACTCTCGATGACTTCACCGTAACTGAATTTAACTGAATTACCCCTTTACTCTACGTCCAACTGAGATCGCCTGGTAAGATAGCAGCAGGTGTAAGAGCCTCAGCGTGTGGATCCGAAGGAAAATTTAATCCGTCAACCTTGCACAAATGACCCGGAGCGGCTGTCCTGACCTACCCTGCTTTTGACGGGGCGATTTTAAGGAAAGACAAGCCTCCTGCGTGAGATTTCCGATGGCTTCCCAAAGGAAGTAGAGCCAATAGATTGTCTTTTACCATAGATTGGTTTAGTATAATCTTAAAATTATAGGTTTTAAATGTATGTGGTTTAACTATATTACACGTAATTTGTGTATACGATGTAATTATGTAATTTTGGAAAATATATTAAGTACATTTAAATAATTCACACTATTTTATAAATCACGTATTTGAAGGAGAGCAAACCCTGTAATTTTGAGTGGAAACCGTGCAGCTTCATGCCTGGGCAATTGCGATTTCCTCATTTAAGGGAATGAACGGTATTAAGCTTTCAATTTTTTTTTAACTTCATATGTATACATTTGTGTGTGTGCGTGTGTGTGTGCGCGCGCGCGCGTGTGTGGTGTGCACGTGTGTGGAATACCTATGCAGGCCAGGAGAGGGCGTCAGACCCCTCGGAGTTGGGGTTAGAGGTGGTTGTGAGCTTCGTGCTCTGGATACTTGGGAGTGAACTTGGTTATCTGCAGGTGCTGTTGACCCCTGAGCTTTTTTCCGAACCCCGAACATGTCCGTTAGTTTCCTGCCCGTGGTTAATAGTCAGGTGAGGAGCGGAGGGCCCCTTCCAAGCTGCCCGGAGCTGCCCTGCAGCTGACGCTGAAGCAGTGTTTGAAAGCCCCCTCTAGGCTGTCTTCATGTCCCGCTCGCTGCCCCTGTAGGAACCTCCATTAAGATACAAACGGAAGATGTTGAGACCATGGTTTTACACCAAGGAAACGGAAGCAAAGCAGTTACTGGGATGAATATCGCTGAGATGCTTGCCAAGAAGGAAGACTTGCAAGAATTGAAGGTGACACCACTTGCTAACTAACCCATCGTTCGATGAACTAATTAGTAAATAACGTTTTTACAGCGGGATAAAAGTCGAATATACTAAAGGCCGGCACCTCGTCTTGATTTGTTCTTAGTTACTGCATACTTAATGACAGACAGTTTGCGGTCTGATAGCATGTGTAGACTGAACAATCTAGAATGTCCCAAAGTGCTAAGCTTTTTAAACACTGGAATTAACTCGGAAATTCTCAGATTTTTGAGATCTGAGGTGCAGCTTAGTTGAGCCTGAGGGAGGCCTTAGGTTCATGCACACCGGTAAGTTTCATAGTTTGGATCATACTGTATTTGGCGTTTTCAGATTACAGTTGCACCCTATCTAATTTGAAACACTTCTGGCCCAATCGTTTCAGATGAGGGCTGTTCAGCCTACAATGATACTTGCATGTCACACTGCACAGATTTTCACGGCCCCGTCATGCGTGTGGCTTGACACCTGCGGATGTTAGGCGTTTTGCCCACGGCTGAACCATGAGCTAGAACCTGGGGCCTCCCAGGAAGAAAGACAGAGACTTTTACTAAGGGTTGTCCCCACCTGGGAGTCAGAGCCTTTGGAGATGCTGGAAGGTCCTGGAGCAAAGCTAAGGCCCAGAGGGTTTGTGAATAGAACTTGGCTGTTACCATTCCGGCCAGCTGGTTGTGTAGACTGGGTCCTCCAATACTTAGTCATTCTCTTCAGTTCTGTAGATAGCCACCCCACCCCCACCATTTTCCCATGGGACTCAAAGCAATCTGTTGAACTTTCTTCTTTAGTTACTGCGTGTTAACACAACCCTTCCCCTCTCCCTCCCCCCAAAAAGGAGGTCAAATGTTTCATCACCAAGATGGTATGGCTCTCTTTGGAAAGGCCTTGATGGAAATGTGCTCCTTCTGGGGTGGGGGTTGTCTTATTCTGCAGGGCTCCTGGGTGACACATCTCACCCTGACTTTTAGAGAGAGTTTCCTCCCTCTACAATCCTTGTAGGCTAGAATTTTCTAAATTAATAAAGAAAAAAAAGGAAACCCAATTTATGTAAATTTCAAGATGCAAGTTTTCAAATTTGCTTCACGGTTCTGCCCAGATTCCTCCTCCATTGGGCCCCCCTGTGCCGTGCCCACCTTCTCCGTCAGTGCAAGTTCCTCTCTGTGTGTTCCCTTTAGTGCGCGGATGTAGATGACAACGACTGGGACATCTCATCCTTAGAGGAAGAAAAATCTCTGGAGAAAAAGATGGAGCAGCGGGAACCTCCGCCTGTGAAGCGAGATCTAAGTTCCAGTCAAGTGCCCAGGGCCTGGGGCCCAGTGAACCACCAGGAATTCAAGGAAGAAGGTTTGCAGTTTCCTCTCCCTGTACTGACGGGTTGTGTGCGTGTTTGTGTGGGTGCACGTGGAGACAGAAGTCAGCCTTGGTGTTGTTCCTGACAGGCAGGCAGTCTACCTTGTGTCTCACCAAGCAGGCTCGACTGGCTGCCTGACCAGAGTCCCTCAGTCTGTCCTGCTTCTGCTCCATGCAATGCCAGAGAGAGACAGTGGGTGCCCTAACCCGTGGCCTGTCTGAAACGTGATCAAATCCAAGCCCTGAACCAACCAAGCTAGCCCTTGAGTTCCAGAGTGGCCCAACGTTATAAATACTTGCTTCTAGGTGCACTTTTCTGACAGAAGCACTGTCGGAGGCCAATGGCGGAAGCAACCTAGCCAAGGCGGAACCAAACGAGACCAAATCACACAATTGTTATAACCAAGACCTTGATTTTTTTTTTAATCATAAGGTATATCTGAATATTGATAAGTTACTTCACATAACATACGTATTATAAATTGGTTTAATTTTTGCTGTACTGTTTCATTAAACATTTTAATGTTATTTTTCACAATGCCCACACAGATTTCTCTTCATACAGATGCCCCCTAGAAATTAGACTCTCCAATCTTATACATGGATGAGAAGATTCTTTTCACAATCTTCCAGTACATCTTCATTTTCTCTTGGTTTTCTTCCAAGGGAGGTTTTTGTTTTTGTTTTTTGTTTGTTTTTGTTTTTGTTCTTTTCTTATAGCATAGTAGTCAGTAGGATGGATCACAGATGACATTGTAAACTGGAATGCTTCCTGTCCCTTAAAGAGCCTGGGTGTAACTCTGAGAGAGCCATGTGACTCTCAGAAAGTCATGTGACTCTCAGTAGACCTCCCTCCCCTCTGCCCCCGCCCCCCACCGACTCCCCATCCCATCCCCTTTCTGCTCCTCAGGGAGAGTGAGGCCTTCCTTGGGGATTTTCAAAGTCTGTCATATCATTTGGAGCAGGGCCCAGGCCCTCCCCCATGTGTCTAGACTGAGGGAGTATCCCTCTATGTGGGATGGGCTCCCAAAGTCCATTAGTAAACTAGGGATAAATACTGATCCACTGCCACAGGCCCCATAGACTGCCCAGTCCTCTTAAATGACACCCACATTCAGGGCTTCTGGGTCAGTCCTATGCTGGTTTTGCAGCTGTCAATCTAGAGTCCATGAGCCCATCCCCCCCCCCCCCCCCCCCGTTCAGGTCAGCAGTTTCTGTGGGTTTCTCCAGCCTGATCTTGACCCCTTTGCTCATCACTCTTCCCTCTCTGCAACTGGATTCCAGGAGTTCTGCTCAGTATTTAGCTGTGGGTGTCTGGTCTGCTTCTGCTCCCATTAGGTACTGGGTGAAGGCTCTAGGATGGCATATAAGGCAGTCATCAATCTCATTATAGGGGAAGGGCATTTAAGGGAGCCTCTCCACTATTGCTTAGATTGTTAGCTGGGGTCATCCTTGTGGGTCTCTGGACATTTCCCTTTAGAGCAGCCTCCTTGAAAACCTGTAGGGAAAGCCAGGGGCAAGACTAAATAGATTCGGATGCTCGGCGAGCAATGACTGTGTGATCCAGGGGACCTCCAATATCCCGGTTTGACCACAGGTCCCCTCTCTTCTCCTGCTCTCTCCTCTGCCCAGGACTTCAAGAGAAGGAATTAAGCACACTGAAAAGCGGCCTAGTCACTGTGACAGAGTGGGGGGACATTTTGGATGTGTGACTACAACTCCCCACGTCAGAGAACTGTTCCAACCGCCAGCTGCATTTCGGCCAACAGCCTATAGGATTCTAATGTCCCGTAGTGTTTTCCACCTTAGCAAGGAAGCCCGTTCAGAGCAAGGGCGTCTTTAACAACGCCTAACACAGTATGGGAAACTGCCAACTCGTCCACTGTGTAGGAACAAGATGTCCTTAGGTCATAAAAAGTGTTATCTTCAGTATGGTACTCTAGTGTTAAATGTATTTTTTTCTAATAATTTTTAAGTCCTTTTTATCTTTTATTTATTTTTTTTTTTACTCACAGTAGGCTTTTGTTTGAGATATTGTAGCTTTAAAAAATATGTATATACTGTTATGTTGGTAGTTTTTATGTTATAAAATTCTGTTAAGTCTCTTCAAATTTAAATTAGTGACATCCTACAGGTTGAACTGGTTGTCCCCTCCATGTAGCAGTAAGTCTAGAATGGTAACAATTAGCTAGGCCCGTGGTAAATACATTTCCTGAAGAACCATTGATCCCACTGACCTTTGAGGCCCTATTAGCATGTAATCTTCATTTTGCATATTCGTGAATGATATGCAACCGTTCTAAATGCCAACTGATTTTTATGAGATGATCATTAGAAGAAGTCGAGCCATTCCAGAGTCACACATGTGCATAGTTCTTCTGTTTCCCAGTACCCAGCCCACTATAAAATACCTCAGAAATAATTTATATTCTTGAACAACAATCTCGGCAATGGTCAGAAAATTTATATATAAACTGTTTCTTTTTTTATTTTTTCCTTTTTTTTAAAAATATTTTTTATACTTTGTGGTACTATTAGGACTCTATCTCAGAAAAAAAAAAAGAGGTAACATTTTAATAGCTTGTTGATCTCCTGTCATCCATCAACAGTGCAGTAAAGTCCTCCATTACCTGTGACTGTGGCTGCTTATTGGAGGTGACTCCTTGACTAAATTTATGAAGGGGCTTACAAAAAGCCATGGCTTCTAATACCCTGAACTTGGGATAAATCTCTGTGGCTACTATGGCTACCATCACAAAACCTATGTGTGTCCATTCCAGACCATGAGAAAAATCCTTCCACATCCCCACAGGGGCCATTGTATGCAAACAGGCTGGCTTTGTATGTAGGCTTCCAAAAGCTTTGGTAGGTGACAGTAAGACTATGATGGTGTGACAGAGACAAACAGCCTGCCTGTCACTCACTTCCTTAGCTGGTTTTTACTGAGCCCCGTGAGTTTTAACTTCTTTATTTATTTTACTTTTCAAGAAAGTCTCAACTATATAGCTGTGGCTGACTTGGTACTCAACGTGTTATAGACCAGCCTGGTCTTGAACTCAGAGATCCACCTGCCTCCACCTCCCAAGAGCTGAGGTTAAAGACGTGTGCCAGCCTGAGCCACTGGTGTTGCTTCTGTCCTGGATGTGATTTAGGCCTTCATTCAGTTAGGATTTTGAGATGTGCTCTTTCTATAAACATGACATTAGAAATCGAGAGATGCTGAGTCTCTCGTCAAAGGACACACAACCAGAAAGCAACGAGAGCCGGCTTTAAAGGAAGCCTGCTTCAGGTTCTGTGTTGGGCTTTGGCTTCTGCAACTGGGAAAATGTAATGCTCAGAGCCAGCATAGGAATTAACTTGGTAAATGTAGGTCACGGAACTCAATCCTTTAACTTATTTTTTTTCTTTTCCCCATCCTGTTTGATTTATCCCTTCTAATGTAGACAATCCTTATATGCCGGCCCCTCCATATCATCCATACCTCATCCCCTGCTCTCCCTACATCCTATCTAACTAAAACAATCATTTTAAATGTGTGCCTACGCAACGCCATTTCCACACTGGTCTGTGGTACTTAACCCACCTTTATGAAAAAAAAAAAAATCAAGTATTAACAAGGTATGGCATTTAAAAATTTTTAATTGTATTTTAAAAAAACATTTTTTAAAATTTCTTTTTCTTTCCATTGAGTACCTGCAAACAATGTGACTTTTCCTTTTCGGCCACCACTCACAACCCTGAGACCATCCCAGCTAATGTCCTGGCCCTGTCTCTAACGGACCCCTCCCTTCAACTCTCCCTCCGATTTACTTTTCTTCGCTGTATATGCAGGAAGACGAAACTACCTACTTACCATCAAGGGTGCTGTAAGTATAAATGGGCACATAAGCTGTGTGGCAGCAAGAACAATTACTGCCTTTGTGGGCGAGTGATAGGCAGGGCCAGCCTCGGGGATAAATCTGCAGCATTGTCCCACGTCTCGGAAAACAGCTGATGTCTCAGTGGCCTGGTGAGTGTTGTGGGTAGGACCCACGAGACACAGGAAGTGAGAACGGAAGGTAACACACAGACTCTACGACTCCCTTAGCTGGCTTTGGATTCAACCACCACCAGTGCCCAGCTCACCTACTGAGATTTTCGGTGTCAGACAAACCTGTATGGCCCGGTTGGACCTTGCTGAGCTGTCATCGTGCATGGCAGGCCTGACGGACAGCTCTACGTGGCAGATAGTAATGCAGCTGTTTAACATGATGACCAACAGCCTCTAACTATACCTGTCCCGTTCACAGGACACCACCCCCTACACACTTCTGTCTCATGTGGGTGAAATGAGGGACACTCCAGGCATACTAAAGATCAAAGTGGCTGTCACCCCCAGCATCTCCTGAGCCTCTGAACTAAGAGCATCCACGTGTATAAAACATACAGATCCTGTAGATAACCTGTTTATTTTCCCTAGAGAAAGGCGCAACAGAAAATGATTAGCATATAACTGTAAGAAACATTTACATCCATCCAATCAACAGTCTTCAAATTCATATTTAAAAAAAAAAAAAAAACAAGCTGAAGTGATAATTACAGGAGGAGCCTGGGAAGGATCGTTGTGTGGACAGTTCAAGGCAAACTCAAGACACCACGGCTTGCCAGGAGGTCTTTTAGACGTAAGCGTTCTTATCAAACTGTTTTGAAGGGCTTGTGGCTTTAAAATCTCCTTCTCCACCAGGATACTTGGTCCGAGAAGACATGACAGACGTGGGTCCATTGTATGTGTAGCCCATTCTGGAAGGTAAAACATACCTGGGTTGATTCTGCTCTACACAGCAGGACAAACGAGAAACGGTTGAACCATTGCAGTCAGTAGCTAAGAGTTAAGGCCTCCTGGGGTTAGCCCTCATCCCTCCTCTTCTGTCCCTGTAGCCTGCTGGATGGAAGAATCTCTGTAGAGAGAACTCGAGACTTGCTTGTTCTAAAATCCTTTCTCTAAACTACTCTTTAATGCTCATTTTCCTGAAGCTGAGAAGGTTTCGTAGAGACCTTCGTTGATTCCTGCCGATGTGAAATTTACAGAGGAGTCAGCGTGGACACTCGGGCTTGGCCTCCAGTTAGAGAAGCGGCTTCAGAATACAACAGCAGTTAAGTTGTTAGAAACAAGACCTGACCCTAACCCTTTCCATTGTCACTTCCGATGTCTAAGAGTCACGCGAGTTGTCCCAAATGCAAAGATGTGGCATAATGTGGTTCTCAGCCTGTGGGACGAGACCCCTTAGTCATACCTCTATCTCCAAAAATATGTATGATTCATAGACGGTAGCAAAATTACACTTATGAAGTAGTAACGGGATAATCTTCTTGGGGGGGGGGCTGTGGCGAGAACACGAGGAAGTATAGGAAAGGCTGAGATGTTAGGGAGTTTGAGAGCCACGTGTGTGGTGCCTTTTTAACAGTGTTTCTCTTTCCTACCTGGGTGTTTTGTTGTTGTCAGATATTGAGAAGCAAAATATGACCCCACCAATGATGCAGAGAGAGGCTCCTGCCCATCCAATGAAGAGAGCAGCTCCCAGCTCATATCTGTGAGGAAACAACACAAGCTTTACTACAGCTGGCTCACCCCGGCCTTGGGCGGCTCACCCCGGCCTTGGGCTTCACACCCCGGCCTTGGGCGGCTCACCCCGGCATTGGGCGGCTCACCCCGGCCTTGGGCGGCTCACCCCGGCCTTGGGCTTCACACCCCGGCCTTGGGCGGCTCACCCCGGCCTTGGGCTTCACACCCTGGCATTGGGCGGCTCACCCCGGCCTTGGGCTTCACACCCTGGCATTGGGCGGCTCACCCCGGCCTTGGGCTTCACACCCCGGCATTGGGCGGCTCACCCCGGCCTTGGGCTTCACACCCCGGCATTGGGCGGCTCACCCCGGCCTTGGGCTTCACACCCTGGCATTGGGCGGCTCACCCCGGCCTTGGGCTTCACACCCCGGCCTTGGGCGGCTCACCCCGGCCTTGGGCTTCACACCCTGGCCTTGGGCGGCTCACCCCGGCCTTGGGCTTCACACCCTGGCATTGGGCGGCTCACCCCAGCGTTGGGCAGCCCTGTTGACTAAGATTTACTACATGCTCACACTTTCTTTGTATAAACTTACAAAGCATGTTAGTGCCAGCCCTTTAGAGTCTCCTTGAAGCGTTTTTAGTCTCTCCAACTTCCTAACAGAAAACAAGGGTGGCCAGGCCAGCCAGGTCAGAGACTGGGTCACCTGACTCATCACGCTTTTCTTCCTGTCTCTGCCTTCACTTTGCCAAACTTTCCTAACTGCACTTAGGAAAAGGAAGTCTGCCTCCACATCTGATCTAGTTAGCTCACTAAATGCTCACAGACACCTGTTGTGTGCAAATAAATGAAGGTGCAAGGTGCCTATGCAAAAAAAGCATCAGGGTTAGACAAGAGCATCACTACCATGATCTTAGTGGGGACACTGAGAGGTGACTGATGGGAGATGTCAGTCTGTAAATATGTTTCCATTATTGGTTAATGAATATGTTAGCCTATAGGAAAGCAAGACAGGTGGGACTAGGAGAGGTAGAGGATTCTGGGAAACGGAGGGGGTCGCAATGTGATCTTGGGAAGAGAGGACGAGTCTGGCCTGACCAAGCTTCCAGATGTCAGGTCACAATACTCCCCAGATGACCAAAGTGAACACAGCCATGAGTAGATAGCCCTTCCCCAGATGGGAAGGCAATGCCACTTGTTAGAGAGCTAGAAACCCTTTCAGGTGAGGAACAGCCACCTCCCCCCCAAAAAAAGGAATGACGATTATAAAAACCATAGAGGCTTTTTTGTTCTTATATCTGCCTGTCCCTCTTCCTGTAGAATTGTTCCTTCTATGAAAAGGCATATCACTTTTGCTTCATAGACACAAGCACACAGCACACGCGCGCGCGCACACACACACACACACACACACACACACTGCAAGACTGGAAAAAGGCTTTCCTGGTGCATCTCAGTATAAAACGAACCCAGAGTGTGCTGTGGTCACACGGATCCATGCAGAGATAATCTCAGGAGAGCCCAAGGTAAAGAGAAGATGGCGTTCCAGGTTGCCACCCTCTCTGTTCATGGGCCAGGCATGAAGTGAGACAGGGCCTGGCTTTGGCTTGGTGTGGAGGCCACACAGCTGTAGGGAGCAGCTGGCAGGAGCTCTTCAGGGTTCTTAGCCCATTGATCCTTCCCACTTGGCTGTGTAAGGAGGGATCTCTGCACCCTTGTACCCCAACATGGGTTTTCTGTGGGGGTCTGTGTAGTTGTAGGAGTTACTGGAGCCTGGACCCCTAGCAGGTAGGAAAAGCTGCTCACACGGCATCAGGAATTTTTTTTGTCCCAATGTTGGATGGAGTTAAGCATACTCTGTCATGTGATCTTTCTCTCGGCTCTCTTACAGCCTTGGGAAATTAGGTGACAGCTGGGACAGAACAAGTAGGGATAAGCACTTCCTCTGCTATTGGAAGCCCACAGACCTCTTCCAGGCTTCCGGTGGTAATGACAGACACGCAAAGTTGATGTCAGTGGAGAAGTGCACCTTCTGGCTACACGTGCACAGAACACCAGGAAGGCAAGCGTAAAGTGCATCAGAAGAGAAGAGATTTGGCCAGATCAGGGGTAGCGGGGGATTTCCTGGAAAACAAGCCGGCAAACCCTCATGCTATACATCTGATTCTCACCCACTGAGATCCGCTCCCAAGGCATGTGTCCTCCCCACCCTGCCGGAAGTGCTTCTTGACATTTGGTAATGCTGAAACTGATTTCAACACTTCAGGAAGATTATCCAGATTTCCAATTATCTGCTGGACTCCTTTGTTGTTGCTAGCAATATCCTCTCAAATAAACCAGAAATACACGAAGGGTTTAAACATGCTTTGGGTACGGGCTAAAGCTACTACCCTCTCTCTGGTGTGTCAAGAGTTATATTAGGCTGCGGCTCCCCACTCCACGACAGGGTCAGAGTTCCGTAGCGACGCTGACTCAGCATAAGGCACCCTTTTGTTGGCAGTTTAGTCTCTAGCGTGCACGGCCACCCTAAGGAAAGGGGTTGGGGGGCCACTCGTATCCAATCTTGTCCTTGCACCCAAATCGCCACTTCTGACTTGATCTGCCATTCACGGGGATCCCCTCTGTCTCCACAGACACAAGCTAAGCCACACTCTGCGTTACTCATCACGCTCAGGCCGGAGAGCGATGGTCAGCAACACTTCCCCCCCCCACCCCGAACCCCACCCCAGGACCGTCCCGTATAGTCTAGTGGGGCTAGTGAGACACTGAAGTCAATAATCGGCCGTGCAGTGTGATGAATCCAGCAATAGAATTCAAAGAGCATGTCTGTGCAAACCTCGCCCTCCCAGGTACACAGGACTGTGGTTTGAGCAAGGACGCAGACGCCGCATCCGCTCGCTTTCCTCTCTGACACACATTGCCATCCACCCTCACGCAATCCCAAGACGAGGGTATACACACCCTCATTTTGCCAACAAGGAAGCCGAGGCACAGTGAGATGCAATTACTTGTCCCATATTTAAAGTCTGTAACTGTGATCCCAAACCCGCTCACAGTAAATGGGTTTACGAATATTCTTAAATCCCAGACATTGAAACCCACTTTTACTTTCCATCTCAGAAAGGTTCTGTCCCTGCCCGGCTCATTAAGTTCTACCTGGCTCCAGAACTCTGGGGTGTGGAATTTTTCCCAAACGCCCTGGGGCTCTGTTTTCACCCAATCCCACAAGAGGAGAGGGACTCATTAACCAGGGCCTTGCTGAGCAGCCCCTCCAAACAAACAAAAAACACCTCATCCTTTCAGGGCCTGCAGAAAAACGAGGTGACCTCAGTGAAGGTCACAGGTCAGAGTACATGCCCTTGCTTTAACTCAGAATGGCAATAACCAAAATAAATATGCCAGTTACCTTAACTGTACGTTTTGGGGGAAACGTTAAAGAACATTTACATGTCATGCCCATGAATGCATCAGAACTGAGTTGCATTGCTAAGCCAGTCTTTTGGACTAATCTAAGGGCCACAAAACTGCAAGGATACATTTGTATAAATGGATATTCTCTAGGCATTATCCATAAGTACCTTTACTCCTGACACAGCACACTCCAGCTTGCTGAGTTAGAGTGGCGGTTTAGAGCCCTCCCATCGTGCATAGCCTACCCCTCTTCCATAAGATACCCCCATCTCCTCTGATAATAGTTCCCTAGCATGGGCTGGCATCCCACAACACTTACAGAGCAGTGCAGGATGCTCCCAACCAGCAGCAAAAGCAGGACAAGAAAATTTAAATTCCGTGCCATGGGATCTTCATGGGGAATTCTCAAATTTGAAAAACTAAAGCAAAAATGGGCTTTTAAATTTTCCTCTTTGGGGTCAGCTCTGAAGTGTTGATCACAACAGGCACTTGAGCATTCACCTTCAGTATATGGTGACTTGCCGCTCTGTAGTTCAGAATTCTACCAGCAAAGTGTAGAGGCTGCTTTCACCACCATATTTTTCTTTTTTAAAAAAAAGATAAACACCTTGCTATGGTTTTATTTAACTCATTAAAGAGTTAAGAAAGCAGGTGAATGTCAGAAATTATTCCAAGGTATAGTTAAAAAAAAAAGTCATCAAGAATGCTGAGGTAAATTCACAATTAGATGTAAAACTAATTGAAATTTGGTAGCTTTGACCAATATTTTCCCGGTGTGTTATTTTCTTCAGTCTTCATAACACTGTCCATCTGTGTTACTATGATAGGCAATTGAATTAATCTGAGGTCCCAAAAAACCCAGGGCCCAGGTTTCATACCCCAGGCTCTCGAGACTGACCTGACTCAGAGTGCTCACACCACACCAGGTGATGAGTGCAGGTCTTTAACAGACACTCGCCACTTACTCGTAGAGACTTAGAAGTCATTCACAGTGGAACTAAACATCACGTTATCCAAGATAACTTATAATTCAGCAGAAATATCTCATGTGCTGAGTTACACCATTTGTTTCAAAAACAAATCCATTACTTAGCAACACCAGGGACATTGATCTCCTCCAGCAGTGTGGCTAATTGGGGTTTGGAGTAGGGATGATGGGCTGAGTCACAGAGCTCACCGTGTTCAATGACATGTTTACAGGCAATTCCAAAGTCGGGATAAACTGACCATGCTCACAGGGCTGTCCTTCAATATAAGGAATTCCTAACAGCAAGCACTGTGTGAGGCCCTTCACGGCAGGGTATGGGCAGGTGAGTTCCTTCCCACTGAAGTAAACTACAGACAGAAGACTGGGAAACAAGAAACAAACAAAACAAACTTCAACAATTAAAATGCTTAGCACTCATCTGAGTCCTCAGCAGCCTTCTGGAAACCAATTGAGAGCCAAAGCAGGTGTTTCAGGAGACCCTGCGGGGTATGTTCTGGAATGAGGAGCCTCTATCTGTCCACTTGACAGTTTCCTGCCACACCTTCCTGTGTGTGACACAGTTCTGTATGTCTCAGTTCAGTGATGCAGGTGGCCAGAAATTAATACAGAATTATGCCTTCCTTGTGTGGGCTTTCTTATAAGTTGACATTAGGTCCCTTTGAACCCTCCTTTTACTTGACAGCCAAATGTCATAAGGCAATTGCCCCTTCTATTAGGTCTCTAACATCCCAGAAAACAATTCTCTATTGCTAATCTCAAAGCGCTGTGACAGGTGCTCTGCTGTATGAATATGTATGTAAGGACCGCTACCTTTCAAAATAACATTTTGCGGTCTGTGTTACCGCAATCAGATATGACTATAAACAGTTGAACTATGCCATATCACCTGACCTTCACAACCTCTTGTCCTCATTCTGTATATTCAAAACACAAACGCATGGGGATTCCATAAAACTTTAAGAATGGCCAGCCAGGAAGCAGAGCTGAGTTTATTCCAGGCAGCTTGCACCCAGGGTCCTTCCTGAGGTTTTGGTTGTGAAAGCCTAGCCTTTGAAGACCAAGACATCCATCTCTTCAGCCCCAGGATCCTCTTTCCTCATCTGCTCATCCTTATCTCATAGGCAATGTCTTTCCTTTATGAAGAGACACAGCCCCTCACTGCTGTATTATTACCCTTGCCGTAAACATTCTGCAGAGCATGCTAACTACAAGAAGTCCCACATTGAACATGCATTCTCTGTTACATGATGCTCCCCATCTGGTCTAGGACCAGCAAGTGTGAGCTACGGGAGGGTCATAATGCAGGCACAAAGCATGGAGGGAATCAATCCCCCAGAGGCATACTCTCCCAGAGTATGGAAGTCCGGGAACTGAGTTACCAGAGGACAGGATCAACTGACAATCAAGCCACAGGCCAGTCAGTAAGAATGAAATCGGAGTTGGCAAACATTTGCTATCCCGGGTGCTGGCTAAAGGCTTGCTGGCCTAACAAAAGCATCCTTGGGAGGTGACTTGTGGGAACAAAGTGAAGTCGCAGAGTCACGCCTTCTTAATATGTAACTTAGTATGTAAGCTTTGCTCTCGACATTTAACACTTCCACGTCATCTCCCTCCCGAAGCTCTTTATCATCAACCTCAGTTCACTTTCCGAATTACCCCATGAGCATCCACACAGCCGTACTTGATGAAGGAGGTGGGAGGCCAGCTAAACAGCCTGGCAGACAGAGGCACTTGCACACCCGTAAAGCTGGTACCCAACCAGAAACCACAGTGAGAGAATGCACCTGAAAGTAATTCTTCTCTCCTTCCTCCTCCTCTCCCACCCTCCCATTCCTTCTCTTCTTTCTAGCCATCCTCCACCCATGCCTTCCTCTTCTCTGCTGGCCTTGAGGCTGGACCATCTTCATATCGAGCACAGGCTCCACCACTGAGCCATACCTCCAGCCTAGCATTAATTTCTAACTACGAAACAGCCACAACAGTGAAAAGATTTTACTTCAACATAGTCTAAATCCCAAAGTATCAAGCCAAATATGCCAGGAATGAAGACTATTCTGCAGTAAAATTGAAAAGGAAAAGCCTCGGGGCTAAGACCGGAGCATGAGACTCAGAGGCCAAGCATCGGTGATTCATCTCACATGGCAGAGAGTCTCAGACCACACTGTCCTGTCTCTTTAAATGGACCATGGTTCCAGGCTACAGTAATGATCTGAAAAGCAGTTTCTTTCCACCAATCGATTGTAACTGGGAACAGTTTATTTAAGAAAACAAAACGAGACGTTCAGGAAGTTAGTGGTTTGGACGGCAGAGCAAGGATAAGAATAATGTCATCATGTGGGTTGTGAATCTTGCTTTGAGTACCTATTAGCATAAGCTTGTAGGTGGGTAGCCTCTCTCTCTCTCTCTCCTTCTCTCTCTCTCTCAGATTTGTTAGGTTTTGTTTTAATAAAAAGGAGGTTGTTAATTTGAAATCGCCTAATGGAAAGAGAAGAGACTGTTTTCAAGTCTGTATAAATGCCCATGTTGGAGTTGTCCAAACAGAATCTTCACATGGATGGAAAATCAAAGACTAAAGTGGTGGCGGCGGTGTGTGGTGGCGGTGTGTGTGTGTGTGGGGGGGGAAGACAGACAACACAGCAAACCACACACACAGGGAGCTGTTTAAGTACCACGAGCGTGTCACATACTAGCTGTAAGAACACCGTTCTGATGTGTGTTGAGAAAAGGGTCTTTTAGAGTAAACAGCCACAAATGGATTGCTCAGCAATCTGACTACTGGGTTCTTTACCCCACCTCTACCCATGAAGCCGAGCATATGCTCGACTCACGAATAAAGCTACAGCTGGGTACCTTGAGCACAGTAGGACTTCGCTGATAGGCTTAGTCGTGCTCTCCTGACTTAGGCAGCCGGGATATATATAAATGAGGCTAATGTGGACATCCGCAAAGGTCTGATGCTGGAGAGAAGTCAACAGCATCATCAAACCGACCAGAGGAAACCACGTTCCGAGGCCTGGCCTGTCTTCTGGCCCATTTTAGGGTTCGGGCACAAGAGTACAATTCACACCGGACCCTGTGGTGGACAGCTGTCTTCCCGTGCTTTGCCCAGGGATACAGATATGTGGGTTCACACTACTCACTATCACGTGTTCTGGGACGGGACAGCCACTGGGGAGAAGACACTTGGTGACAACTCTAAAGCCCAGTGGTGGCATTACCGGGAAGAGGGACCTGACTGCCCCACAGCTCTGTCCTCAGACTTTTGCCTCCTCACGCCGTTGGAACAGCAGCAAGTTTTGCACGGGTCTGAAAGGACCAGGGCTCTACAGTCACTGTCACTTGGAGGCACTGAGCTAGGCAGACGGAATTGACAGAGATGCTGTCTGACCCCAAGAAAGTTACACAATCCAGGCTATTAAGACATCAAACAGCTAACAACCGTCCTAGAGCTACCCCCTCCAAACCTCTGTTCACCTGTGTGCTCCCCCGTGTTGGCAGAGCCAGGAGCAGTGACTCCCACACACATTCAAGCACAGATAAACTTGAAACCAGACAGGAATTATTAGCTTCTAGCAAAGCAGGCTGAGAACGTTCTCTTCTCTCAAGAAGCCAGGTCAAAGTCTGGCTCTAAATAAGATTTTTCAGTGCCATCCTGTGTTGGGGGCCAGAGGGCAGCTTTTTGGTTTTTCTAATTTTTATCACCCACCTGCTTCAAGAAGGCGTTGATTAAACACTGAAACACCAGATGAAATCGTGATCCTCACTGGCTGGCTTTGGGAAGCTCACTAAGCCTGCATGAAGTCTGGATTCCTGTCACCACTCCTTAATTAGCGTGTGACGGTACATTTCTAATTCTTAGGTCTAATCATTCCTGGAACCAACTAGTTAATGGAGATTGTGAGATTCCCAATCTTCACATCAGGTTTGGTATCATGTACATCTTTGCAAATCTTATTTTCAAAATTAAGCAAGAAGCTGAGCCTGTATTTCTAGCATTCAGGACATGAGGCAGGAGGATTTATAGGTCATGACTAGCCGGGGCTATATAACAAGACAGTCTCTCAAAACAAAAACAAACGAAAAAAGCATGATAGATAAAAAGTGAGAACATTGAAAAATCAGGATAGCTTTTTCTAGCATGGATAGATAGAAGAGTAAAAAAAAATCATATTGGGTCCAAGAACCATGTTTTTGTTGTTGTTGTTGTTTGTTTGTTTGTTTGTTCCCTAATTAATAAAATTTCTGAATGGAAACTATTTTAAAATAAATGTGTGACAGAAACTGTAATAAGAAGGTACATGTAGCATCTATAGTGAAATTATGATCATAAATTGCACAGTTTAAAGCATGTGTTCTATAGAACTCTAACCCTGGTTTGAAATGTGGAATAGTTTAGTCCAAGTTCCTGTCGACATATTACTTGCTTTTTTCCCTTGATTCCAGAAAGAGGGTCTCAAGATAGAGTCCTGCTCCGTAAGAGTACTAAAGGAGTAAGTTAATGCCATAGAATCCACCCAATGCTATGTTTGCATATGAGGGGACCAATATGTGTTCATATAATTTTTTTACATATCAGAGCTCCAACTATTCTGATGTATAGATTAACTACATTCAAAAGAGAGTCAGAAAGGCAATTTTCTGAAGACTTACAAACGCACTAGGAAAAAGTAATGCCCACTTGACCGATTGTTTCCATACTTGACCTTTAAAAATTTTTGTAATACTTAACTCAAGTCTGAAATTCAATTGCCAGCCTGATTGATAGCAAAATCCCCTCACACACACACACACACACACACACACACACACACACACACACACACGACTTCCTATAGAGGTGTGTGAGGATAGTTTCATGAAGACGAAAATAAAAAAAAGGATATATGGTTGGCTATTTCCCATCTGGTATCCTTGGGATTTTTCCCAATCCAAAGCAATTAACCTAGGGCTGCTGTAGAAAGCGGCAGCCCATAGTGCAGAAGCAATAACCAACCAACAAACTCATGTTAGTCCCAAGGCAGATCAGAGCAGCCACACTGGCAGGTGGGGGTGGGGTGGACAGGGACCGTGCTCCTTCAGCCCTGATGAGAAACTTCGCTGTGTGTACAGTTTCTTCTTTAGGAGCAGCTGCACCAGGCCCAGAGACTAGCATTAGCAAATATTGTGCCGACTGAGCAATAAAGGCCTTTTAATGTTTCATGTTCATAACTTAACGCGCCTCCCATTTTATTTCCCTCAAGATTTGCTGAGTTTCCCTTCAGTTTTTTGATGTAAAACCGTTGAGTTTTTCATTCTAAATCCTTGCTTTGCACTATCTAAAGACAATACACCACGCTAATGAAGCCTCGCAGAGCATCTTCATCCAGACGATCCATAAACTTGATGTCAGAGGGTACCACTCACCCACACAGATTTCATTTTCAAAAGCAATGCAGGAAGTCTCTGTCAATCTAAGATAAATTCACTTGTATAATTGTTCCACGATCTGGAAACGGCACTTACTTTTGCTCCATAAAGAGAGGGTCAAAGAACTCTGTTGTGATTTTGTTTGCATACAGGGAACAGCCTGTCATGGAGCACAGACCTGAAAAACACCAGCGGGTAAGTACAGCAGTCAGCCCCGAGTCATCCACACCCTGGAGTGCCTCGTTCATTGGGCAGAGGTTACTATTTACCTGACAATATGAATACAATCCCAGCCAAGCAAGCGGTTTTAGCTTTGGCTTTGTCTGAGCCTCCAACTTTGGTGCACTTCATCCCAAAGAGTGCAAAAATGGAGCCAAAAAAGCCCAGGCTGACGGCAGCGATCATGAGTCCTCTACACGCCTGGATGTAACCTGTAATCAGAGCATGCCATTTATGTTAAATCGGGCTCGAAGCTCTCCAGAGAGAAAACCTCACTTTGTGTGGTCACCTGGCTTAGGTGTTACACTGTCTTGGGGAGGGGTAGAGGACAACATAATGGTTTAATTCATGTGGTAGGACATGCGAGGAAGGAAAGCCCATTTGACATCTCTTACTTTAAGGTTCGCCTTACGCACAACCTCGGGCTAGATCTTTAAGTTATTCCTGTTTTTAAGAAGGAGGAGATGAAGGCGCGCAGAGGGTCTGTGATTTGCTTCGAATAAGTTCATGCATGGAAGAAGGGATCCCACGCTGGTGCGGATTACTAAGTTCATGCATCATTGCTTCTCTTTCTAACGCCTTAGTGTACCCACCTTCTCAGGAGACACTGAGGTGACTGGTCAAGTCTCCTGGTACGTGAGGCTAACCAGCACGTGAAAGGGGCCCACCGTGAGGCTGAATTGTTTAGTGACACTGAGCTATTGTTAGGTTGCATGGAATAAAAGTTGGGCTTAAGACAACATTGTCTAATAGAAGAGTAATTTATACTTAAATCAACTGTTTGCACGTGAATAAGCGTCTCATGTTAGTTAGCTTATTCCCACTGAAGCATTCATGCTCACAGTATTTTATTTGCATAGCTGGGGTGATAAACTTCAGCGGGGCTTCAGGGTAGGCACCCACCCACTCTGACAGAATTCAAAGTGATGCACCGTTCAGGCACAAGACGCTTCATTTCATTTGAAGCAGCTCTGTGCTAGAAGGGCACAAACCAGTTGTAGGCAAGTATAATAAGCAAATGAACACATACAAGCTTTACTTTGGGTATTAAGCCTTCTCATAAAAGCAAAAGAACAACAACAACAAAAACTTCCTAAGTGCAAACATAAGCAGTAGCTACCTTATCATTATTTTGCACTCAAAGCAAAGCCAATGATAATTAGTAGCTTTAACCTAATAGTTATAAATTTGTGGAGTAAAAGTTGGTGACCTCAAGTCCCACATTCTCTGGGAAAGAGTGGGATTTAAAGTTTGAGTACTGTTACTAAGACCCAGGTTGCAAAGCAGAAGGAAGCTGTTCTTCCTACTTAATGTAACATACCCTGAACCCCTGTAAACACAGCCCTTCATGGCAAGGCCCTTCAAGGGTGTGAAATTAACTTCACGAGTGTGGAGGTTACCAAAAAACAGCAAAAGAAGATTATCTTTAGTGATTTGTGATAACGGAGGATCCTTTTGTTAATAATAACAGTGCCACAGATCTGTCTGGGTCTCTGCTACTAAATACAGACTCAACTCTGCTTTCAACTTTAGCCTAGGAGTCCTTTAGCCACAGCAGAGAGCAGAAACAAGACCTCTCACAGCCTTACAAACTCAAGTGTCTGCGAGGATAATCAAAAGTGGTTTCCTGTTCTCCACAAAGCTACAGGCAGCAAAGAAGGTTGCATTTAGCTTGCTCTGAATGCCATCACTAAACAACAAAATAGAAGGATAGGTACATACACATGCAGGCAGACACACACACACACACACACACACACACACAGGCAAAAGTGTTCTTTATCAGTGTGGGGTATATTTTGTTTCAAAACTCCTATGAAATCACAAATAATACTGAACTCTAAACACTAGTTTTGGTAAATACATGAAAAAATACAGAAATACAGAAAAAAATAGGTACAGAAAATATTAATAGCAACTATAAAGCTGGGCTTTGGGAACACAGGCCTGTAATCCCAGAGCGCTGATGATGAGGTGGAGGGTTGTGAATTCAAAGCTAGCCTGGGCTCCATAGTGAAACCCTGCTTCCGAAAAGAAGAAACAGAACAATTAACAGCTTGTTTGAATAAAATGTATTCAAAACTTCTAGATTACTTAACTTTGGAATTTTTCTTTTAATATCTTTGCACTATAGTTGACCATAGGCCATTGAAACCCAGGAAAGAAAATCACGGGAAAAGGGAGCCTTGTGTGTGTGGCATCCACATAGAAAAAGACAGAAAGAAGCATGTCTTTAGTATGAACCATGATCTGCGGTTGCATCCGCTGCCTTACAGGCTTTACCGTCAGCAGACAGATGGCCCGGAATTTACCCAGGGCTAAGTCCTACAGTCTTGTCATTTAGAACAGGGAATGAATTTCCTGCATGGTAAACAGTGGTTAAGCACCAGCCCAACCCAGTCAGCTTGCAAGGCAGGAAAAAAAATCACAGTAGCCTTTACACTTCAGAAGCAAACTTTTCCCCCAGACTCTCCCATTCTACAGTCCCCTCTCTCTGACCTTCCCTGGCCTCTAAGCACAGACATCAGAGAGAAAGGGGGCACAGAGGTTGTCATCCTGTGCAGTCCTGGTGCAGGGGGGTGCACCTCACCCTGGCTCCAGAACACTGACAATAATTTGCTAACTTTCTGCAAGCATTAAAGACAATAGTCGGCCTGGTTTTCCTGTAATGGGAAGCCAAGACAAGGGAAAAAAAAACCTCCTCTGCCAGCCATGAGAGGAATTGGTGTGATGTTTGTTAATTAGCCTGAGGTTTGCAAACTGGGGCCTACTGGTTCCAGAATCTCAGGCCTCTAGTGAGTTCCAGCAGACTTTCAGAGTTTATCCTTCTGCCAGGCAGACCTCTACACCCCAGCTTTTTAACAGCTCCCGAGGGCAAACTTAGAAGTTACACCATCAAATGAGGTGGAGGTAAAACCTAGTCAAGGAGGCCATTATTTCTGACAGGTCTAATTTACTGACACCAGTTAATAGCTAATTAACACATTAAAGTGCTAAGGCAAGAATGTATTTACTTAGAAGTTCTCAAGGGATAATTTATAGTTCTCCTGCAAGAAATGGCAAACACCCCCATTAGCAAAAGACAGGATGGCACGTGGTAAAAAAAAAAAAAAAAAAAAAACCAACTGAAAATAAGTCCAAGTGTGCTTTGAAGGGAATATGGATTAGCCATAAACAGAAATCACCAGTTTTGTCAACGGTGGTATTTTCAAACAGAAACTTGAACCTAAGGGCTTCTGTTGCAGGAAACCTTCAAGGTAACCCTTGACAGTCAAACATCTCCTCAGTGGTGTGCCCTTTGCTTTCAGTTGCCAGTCAGCAGCATAGTGGTTGCTGTGGTCAATCGGAAAGAACGCAGCAAGGTTCGCTACACTAGTAGCTTGGTGTGTCTCTCGTGCAAAGAACGCCAGCTCAGCTCTGGCACCCCATTTACATACATGGCGCTCCCTTTATTACCCACTGATCTCTCTGCGTCTCCGTTTCTCATCTGGAAAACAGGAATAGGCACAGGGTGAATGGTAAGAGCCCACTCAAGAATTGCTTCTCCAATACCAAGATGGCTTCCAGGTAGATGCGGGAGTCCGCTGAGGTGACATAGCATTCAGCCTAGAGTTCGCTTTGTCCCGCCTCACCTTTCCCAAAGGGAAATCCGGGACCAAAAGTGACAAATAGAATATTCTGCTTGCTATGACACAAAACAGCAAGAGTCACCAACCTTCTCTCTTGGCATTGCTAATCTGGAGCCTATGCCTGGCTTAAGCAGAGGAAACCATTGTCCTGGTCTGTAGGGACAACAGTGAGGTGGCTTTCTCCTTCCATTTCAAATATCAGGCCCAACACCCAACATTCCCTGCCCTGGAAATACAAGGTAGAGATGAGGCAGGGTTGGAGTTTTGGGGAGGGTGATGCTCTGGAAGGTTCCACTTGAAGTCTGGGAGGGGAGAGCAACTTCTTTCAGGGGAAAAAAGTAGCTGTGGCTGAACCCTTCCTGGGAGATAAAGTTAGGTTTGTCTTTTGTCCCTGGGAATGTGCTACTGCATCATAAAGGGGGAAGTCACCAAAGGAGAGACTGGCAGCTGTAATTACATCATCATTTTCAAAGCTCTGTCTGGCATAATAAACTAGGAGGAGCAGTAGGCTCAGATTGCTCCGAGGAGTCAAGGATTCATACACACACACACACACACACACACACACACAAGTAGAAGCAGCAATATAACCATTGTTGTAGGATAGAAATAGAAAACAAAGAGAAAAGAAACAGTCAATAAGTAAGCTTAAGGTGCCAGACCCATGGGGGGTACGGGGATGCAGAATAAAGTGGCAATAACGGTCAGTCGTTGTGGGCAGGGACAGCGGTGAGAAAATGGCAAAGCAGCTGTCCTTGTACTCTTGGTGGAACGCAATTCGGCAGCGTGAACTGGATATTAAAATGCATGTTCCGGTCTGGCGATATTACAGCGTACAGAAACAGACGTGCACACGAGCAGGGGAAAATAAATAGCTTCAGCGAGGTGCTAGCAGGAGGGAATGCTGGAAAGGGCAGCATCCACCAAGGGTAAACGGCTTGAGGGAACCAGTCTACCAGACTAATAAGAGCTATGCAGCAGCTAAAAAGGTTTTGGTTTTTTTCCCCCTATCTGTGCCAGCCAACTTCAAAGATGCTGTTAATTTAAAAACATTGTGGAACATGTCATTTCTGTTTGTTTTAAAAATATCCTTTTCTAATCACATGAGCACGCCCATTTTGCATATATCGATGGCATATAACTAACCCCTTCTCTCTACTCAATGCCTGCCTACCCCAAGGTCTTGCTAATGAGGACTGTGTCTCTTGTCCTCTTCAGAGCCCAGCCCAAGCCACAGATCATCCCTGCACAGCAGACACACAGCGGAGAGATCCATCCCACTGTTCTGTCCTCGGAGCCTGAATCAGGAGTATTTCTTTCTCTCTCCTCTACCTTGTCCCCCAACTGCCCTGATGAAGGACGCAAGCACGCACACTTATCCAGCGGACCATCTCAGGCAACAGTTGAGTTACAAACAGGGTAGTCCTAGAACACACTGTGAATCCTATGTTCCTGAATGCAAACCACAGAAACAAGAGTTGTCTGTTGTCTCCTGACCCTGGGCTCGCTCTCCTGAGCACAGGGAATTCAGCAGCGATGCTTGCTGTTCTAACTACACAACAGAGCCCAGCCCCAGGTGCCAA